GTTGGCTTTCCATCTCACTTGAAGAAAAAGGAAAAATTATAACAAGGCTCTGAAGATCCTGTGCACCCTCTCTCACAAATGCCTCTGTGCTGAGGGCCATTGCCAAGTAGGAATGACACATCGAAATTTCCTTGCCAGCGTACCCCATGTTAAATGGACTTGCCTTGGAAATCCGCTGTAACCTTGCATGTGTGTTTGAGAAAGGTGACCCTGCTCAAGGACGAGGGTGGATCCAGGTTTAAGGTGTATCTTGCAGGTTTTAGGAAGTATCCCGCTCCTTGGGTTTAGGGCGTTCCCGGTTTAAGACAAGTTTAAGGTGTTCCCGGTTTAAGATAATCTGGGTTTAAGGAAATTCCAGGTTTAAGGTTATTGCTGCTGGGAATAGGGCGTTCCTGCTGCCTGAGTTCCCGTTGAGTTCTTGTGGAATTCAGAAAGTATTTGGGACGTGAATTGTGCGGGCAGATTTTAGATTTCCCCTGAACGTGTGTAGAGGCCGGTGTGAGTTCAGGAATAAAGAATTGCTGTTTGAATCTACAAAGCTGTGAGTGGCTTGTGATTCTGTGCCCAGCCAAGACTGCAGCACCTCTGACTTACCCCCTACCTCTTTATTTTTTGCCCTGCCCCATCATTTGCTCTCTTCTCCACCACCCTGGCCTCCTTGCCTTTCCTCAAAGATGCTACCCTTCAGGATCTTCTGCATTTGCTGTTCCCCTGTCTTCCTTCAGATATTTGCAAGGTTCACTTCTTTCAGGTGGCTCCTCAATGTCATATTTCAGAGGACTATTCTTACCTGCCTTATAAAATAATAACATTCCCAAATTCCTTAATTCCTGGATCTATAGTTATAGCACTCCCTATTTCCTGATTTAGCCATGGCAGGTTAAATAATGYCATGGTAACAAACCCCCAAATTAAGTGGCTTAAAATGTAAGGGTTACCCAGCTTTTACCTGATTCAGAGAGCCAATCATTAAATTTTCAGGATGATTGTGAGCCAGTTATTATACACAGCCACTTTTACAAGTCAAATTATATAAACTTACAATTAGCTATGTACCCCTTAATTATTTCATTACATTTTACCCTTGTTAAAATAATGATATTTTTATTACATATTACTGTGATCTACGCCCTTGAAGGCATTTATGTCCACTGTGTCTGCATGGTGGGAATACTGTATAATGACATATTACTGTGCGTCTCTACCTAACTCTTCACTTGGGGGGTGCCAGATTGGAGTCAGCCATCTTGCAAATATTTCTACACTGCTGAAATTGATCACAGCTACAAATCAGGGTTTGATTGATTTATCTACAATGTATTTATTTTAGTGCTTAAGAAAGTGATGGGGTAAATATTTATGATGCTGATTAAATTACAATGTAAGCAGCGTGCATACACACACACACACACACACACACACACACACACACGAGACAGTATTCTTGTAGCATTCAGCAATTTACACCAGATTCAAAACTTCAGTTGATTCAAAACAGTCAAGTTCTGACATAGATCTTCATTGTTTCAACTGAACGTATCAACCAACATTCAGATTGGAACTACACTATTTGTGAGCTGGAACTATAGGCTGACTATGGACACAAGACCTCAGCAAAAATGTACCAAAACATTCTGTGAATATCAATGGGGGATATGCAATTTCAACAGAGTACTGTGCATTTTATTACTTGTAAATTGCGTCTTTTATTATCAATAAAGTTTGTGCTGCCCTCTTCTTCCCTTGGAGAGCTTGCCGTCAAGCATTTACCAGCCCACCACTCAAAAACTCTGGATTTATCATTCACGTACACTTCATGTCCACCATGAGTCTTCTGTCCACGTCCCTTCCTTTGGGCCCAGGATATGGCACTCAGCATTGCTGATTGTTGTGTCGGTGGGGAGAGGGTCATAACAAAGGTTCTATCTGGAAGTAACTCACATCACTTCTGCTTATTAAGTCACATAGTCATGCCTGCCTTTAAATGAGTAGAGAAGTGCAATTCTACTATGTGCCTGGATGGAGGAAAAGGAGAGCAGGAGTATTTGTGAACAGTCCTAATGACTACCACAACATGTTAGGTGTCTGTGTATTTATCATCTGCCTCACTCCTGTGTTTAAATGTAGCTTCCACCAGAGAGCTGTTTTGCTCACTGCTGTATCCCAAGCACTTCACAGATGCTTAATACATACTGAGTTGATCAGGGAGGAAACTAACTTGGAGGAGGAAAGTTCTGGAAGCAAGCCCTCATGGATGCAAGGATGGAGAGGTCATCATTTCATGTTTTGTCCAACTTTTGATAAGCAATGTTTTTGTTTCTCACCACCCCTCACACCCTGATATGTGCACCTGGAACTTGGTGGAAAAGGAAATCCCATAGATGCATATAGCTCTGTGTCATTAGAATAGGGGAGGGAGGCACCTGGGACATAAGATGAAGGAGGCATCATTCTCGGATTCATGTACATGCAAAGTCAGTCCTGAGAGTGGGCACCTGTTTACATTTTGGCGCCCTGGGAGCATTGCTAGTCCTGGCTCCTCAGTGAGGTCACCTCCAGGAAATCCCAACTCCATCACTTAATAAATAATTCTAACTACAGTGATTGTTTCTTCCAAACACAGCCAGACAACAGCATATATAGAATGATGCGCCCACACAGTTTTCTTCCCTCTTTGTTTAGTTCAGAGACTTTGATAAACTCTAGGGGCTGAGTTATGGCTCTAAATGCTGATGGGCACAGCGAAGCAATAGGAGGGAGGGATGGCTTATTCTAGAATACATCTCCTGCATCTGCTTCACTGTTGTGATCTCAAAGCTCAGGTATTGGTTTGATGATATTACATGCCTGGGATACCAACAGTACTTACTCCCATTTACTGAGTAGCTGCTATGAGCCAAGAAAGCACTACCCTAGGCCTTTGTAATATTGTCTTGTCYATCAACTAGTACCTAACCAAGTCTGTTCTAGAGGCACTTCCTGTCTATTAAAGAGAAAATGGAGTCTCAGAGAAATTAGGTAACTCTTCCAAGTTCAATCAGGAAGTGGTAGAACCATGATTTAAACACTTCTTTCTGAATCTAATGTCTGGCCCTTCTAAACCAGGAGTCCTCTATTCACCTGTGAGAAAAACAAAACAAAACACCATCCTTCAGGCAACATAAGCTCAACACATTGGGGTCAACTTGACCTTGCTCACAGGGCTCAAAACAGAAAACAAAACAAAAAAACAACCAAAGCCACCCCCCGCACCGACATGTCTACATTTGACTTATAGAAACTCTCATTTTGTCAAAAGAAAGCTCAGTTAGACCATAACTGCTTTTTTTTTCTTTCAATTTTTATTGAACACAAGTATTCTGACAGAATGCAAAGTCAAAATTCTCAGTTAGTACTCAGTATTTACACCAGTGAGAATGGAAACAAAGGTGGTGCTGATGTTTCACTTGGTAAAAAGTTTTATAACAAGAGAGAAGGCCCCCGAAGTACAGAATGCTGGGTAGGGATGTTAATGGAGGTTTGAAAACCGCCATCCAGACAGACAGCCTAGGATGAAAACCTGGGATGTGGGAGGTTCCATAGAAAAGTGTGAAAATAGAGTTCCACGTCAAAAGCTGCGCTATATACACCGCGGCCCTTCAGGATTGGAGACCTGTTCGTGGCACCTGAGTGCCTCCCGCAGAACTTGGCCAAGCCGGTCTTCATGTGAATACATATGTATGGCACATACACATATAGACACATCGACACGGAAACTGGTGGAGTTGATCCCTCCTTCCAAAAATTAAAAAAGCAAAATTATAAGCTTTTATCTCTTAACATAAAAGATAGAAGATCTTGAAAATAAAGTGACTCCCTCTTTGATTTTAGAGGAAGCATTGCTCTTTAAAAATAAAAAAAGAAAAGAAAAAGATAAGGAAGGCTCACGCATGCGGAGACAAACATATGTGTAAAAGCAAGAGCGGCAGATGGAAGTGTGGGCAGTCTTGGGTTCCAGCTCGTGGTGGGCCAGGGTTCTGGGGGGGGGGGGGTCAGCTGCCCTGGGCCAGGTTATCTGAGGGCTGACTGTACTTCTGTCTCTTCCTCACCAACAGAACCAAATTAGTTTGCCTAACCACACCCACTTAGAGTGAAATACATGGTGTCTCCGGGTCTCCAGGAAGTATCACATGGCCTGGACCTAGGAGGTCAAGGCATTAAAATCACAAGATAAGGAATCGATTCTACTGAACAGCCTGGAGACCGAAGAGCTGGCCCTTCCCCACCAGGCCCTCCCTGCCTCAGGCGCCCACCTCTCCCATTCTGCCCAGTGCACGCTAAGAGCTGTCTTCATGCTACTTGGTCCTGAGGGCCTGTGCATTTGAACTCTAGATCTGTGCAGACCCTAGAATCAAAGGGGCCAGGACTGTGTATTCTGGGATCCTCCATTTCCATCCCCAGGAGCTGAGAAAATGCAAAATAACCCCACATTTAGCAAATGACAAGACCATTATTTTTCACAGTTTGAAATTATAATCTAGCATTGCCACTGATCAGACTGCAGAAGTGTCAGAACCTTGGGGGGAGTGGCCCACAGAGCGGACGCAGAGGCAGCCTTGCCACCCCGGGCCTCACGCTGCTTGTACCTTGGGAAAGGAACGCATGCCGGAAGAGGACCAATTTCTGTTGACTTAGCATCCTCTTCATGACCAYCATCATCATCATCTTTATTTTATTTTCTTTGTTTAAAGGCTTCGATTCCTTTTAAGAGTTATTTTTTGTTTCCTGAATGTTTTTCTGAACTATCTGCTATACCTTCCACAACCAAACTATGTTGAAGTTTTATTTCAATACTATGACAAAAACACGTTTCACACTAAAATATTCACGCATCCACAGTGCACAAGCTTGCAGTTCTAAAGTAGAATGAGAAACAAAAGCAAAATTTCTATACAAAGGGCTGGCTTTTCCCTTCTCCCCCCTCCCATCCCCCTTAAAGTTTCTGTATTTTTCCCCCACTTGGTTTCCAATCCAGGAAAGTTGTGTTATGACTCCAGACAGTAGTTTTTTTTTTCTTTGTTTCTACAAATGCTGCCTAAAATGAACAGAAGGCCGATGTTACTTGACTTCAACAGATTTCCAAAAAAAGACACTAATTCCCTGAAGCACACATGCTCTTCCGCTCAAATCTAGATTCTGGGCTCAAAAGGAAATGGGATGTATATATTTTATTTGGCTTTCTACAAAAAGGGGATGTTTGGGGTATAAATGTGTGTTCACCAAGACCAGCCCCAACTATACAATCTTCTCTGCTTCATTCAACAAAGCCTAAGGAGTCCTTCAAAAGGAAGGGCGAGAACACCTGGGAGGCAGATCCTTTGTCACAGATACAGGCAGGTGGCAGCTAATCAGAAAGTGGTCTAACCCCCAAAGAAAACACAAAAAGAACTGAAAATAGAAAGGCAAAACCATTCCAATGAGATGGATTTTCACCTGAGCTGAACACAGGCAAAAACTGCAAATCAGAAAAGGGGGTAGAACCACTGTAAACAATCATCTTTTGTAAAGTCACCCTGTGCTAAAGCAAGCCCACGAGGATCCTACCTACCTCTAGGCGGTATTTGTTACTCTAAAAAAAGAAGAGAAAAACAAAAACAACAACAACAAAAAAGCAGCTATTTTACATGGACATTTAAACACAACCGAAGTCAAACATTTGTCAACCTGTAAACACTGGAAAACAAAGTTGGCAGAAAGGAAGGGAGGAAACCAACACAAACAACAAAACAACAGCCAAAGGAAAAGAAAGCAAAAGAAGTCCGAATACTGCAAATTGAGATCTACCCCCAGAAGCTGCAATTTGGCATTCTTCCTACAAAACAAGAGTCTACGTGGGAACTGAATTCAGCTAGAAAGGTGACACACTTTGCATACTGAACAAATACAAAGTGAACAGAAATGATAACTTATTTATGAGGTTTTACAGAGTTCGAACTCGACTGAAAGTATAAAAATAAACTGTGGACTTTGTTCATTCGGTTAGTCTTAGTGCCTGAAAGTATTTCTCTGAAACTGGTCTGTGCCAATCGGTAACACCAAGTGTGGTCTTTCTGAACCTAGATTTTTTTTTTTCCCTTAGCTTCCTAGATTCTTAATTTGGGGTCCTTTTGTTTGATTTTTAAATGGTTTCAGGGAACGGAGTGTCCTAGTTTGGCTGTGGGTTTAACCTTTTTGTCTCATTTTCTTACAAGTGAGTGTGCAACAAAGGAGCCCTTTCTATAAACCTACAAAAAGGAGATCCCATGTTTATCTGTTTAGTTTTTTTTTTTAAAGGCAAAAGACACTAGAGGAATGAGACTGTGTGTGTGTGTGTGTGTGTGCGCGCGCGTGTGTGTGGTATTGGAAATGCTCTGGTGAAGCTGCTGTGTCACTTTTTATTTTGATTTCTGCTCGTTGCTCATCACCCATCATGCTTTGCTCTCATTCTCCTTTGTTTGTGTGGCRTCGTTGGGGACCGTCTTGACTTCAGCTGGCGCTGGCTTTGTTTCTGACTCCTGGGACTCCGACTTTGCTTCTACAGGGCCCTTCCTGCAGAGAATCAGGAAAACAGCAAGGCTGAGACCCTGGTTTGCAGACATCTCCCCCCTTCTGCCAGGCCCTGGTTGGTGGGGGGCAGTTCTAGCCCTTGGTCTCCAACCCTGGAGGCATGTTGGAATGACTTGGGAGCTCTAAGAATCACTGATGCCTGGGCCATGTCCCCGAAAATCCTGGACACAGTGACTTCCGAAAGTACCCCAGGTGATTCTAATGTGCAGCCTAAGCTCAGAAGCCCGAGTCCTTCCTGCCAGAGCAGCCTACCTTGATGTTGGGGCTTTTTGACCTGGGGCAGGGGAAGAGGGTGGTTAAGGCATCCTCTTCTTCACCTTGACAAGCTGCTTGGAGCCCCTCAGCTTGCTCTAAGTAATGTGTGTTGTGCTGGGTTCCCAATACTGTTTCCAGGTCCTCCTCTGCCCCCCACCCACCTCCGCCACCACCTCTTTGGCTTCTCCCTCCCCTACCCCCACTCCGTGCTGTTTAAGGATGATACCTGTATGGTGACCTGGGTTGGGTGAGAAAATACTGTTACAGAGGCATTTGGTATTCGGGAGTTTCTAGTCTTTCCAGACACTCTAAGGGCAGCAGTGAATGGTGGTGGGGGGTGGGCAGCTCAGCCAGTGTGTGATGAAGCTGCTGACAGCATTCTCCCTGTGCATCAGCCTTGGGGGGCTACTTTCTTCTTTTTGCATAATGGTGCCTTTCGGAGGGGGGGGGGACTTAGCCTCCTGGGTGACACTGACTGGGCCCTGGGGTGGCAGATAAGGGCACCTTGGCCTCCTAGCACCTTCCCAAGCTGTGCTCATCAGTGGCCCACTGCAAAGCACCCCCAGGGAAAACAGAAGCACTGCTAGGATGATAAGGATAAAACATAATTAACATGGCCTAATTAGAGAGCAGGAAGCTGCTCCTTTCAGGGAGCCCTGCTGCCTGCCCCTGTTACTGCCTCATCCCAGCCCCTTGGTTGACAGTTGGCTGCGAGAAGCCCTGGGTGAGGCTGAGGACACATCTAACAAGGAGGACACAGCACAGCACAAACGCACACCACCACAGGACACAACCTGACGACAGCAGACAGAGAGAGGCCGTACTCGGTCTTTGCTGGTGCAGGCGAAACAGAGCTGTCTGCAGTGGAAGGAGCAAGCTCAGGGGCTTGTCCACTGGCCCCAGCGGCGGGAGCAGGAGAGCCCAGGGCTGCAAAAACATCCTTTGCAAGGTCAATATCTGGGGTCTTGAAGTTCCCTTCGTCCATTTTAAAGTCCTCGCCCTGGGAAGGGTTTGTGGCGCTGACGGAGGCAGCCTCGCTCTTCGGGCTAGCGGGGGCTGTGGCTGCCTCAGGTGGGCTCTTCGCAGCGCCGGGCTGGGTGGGCTCCGGGTCCGGGCCTTTGGTGCTGGGAGCCTCCTGCTTGGCCTGGGGGGCTTCTGTGGCAGGGGCAGCGGCTGCTGCTAGGGGACTGGCTGCTCCAGCAGGGGTGGGGGTTGGTGCGGGGGTCGGCTTGCTGGCCGCAGGGGCCTTGGAGGCCTCCCCCACACTGGCTGGGGTGCTTGGGCTGAGGACAGCTCCTTGATTGGCCAGGACACTAGAAGACAAATTGCTGGCAGGAGCTGAGGTCGGGGTATCACTCAGGTCAACAAGGGGCGCAACCTTAGGGGCTGAAGCTGGGGTCGGGGAGGAGGCAGCAACGCTGGGCCCCTTGGAAGGGGTGGCCTGCCCAGCGGGCACAGAATTTGAGTCCGGCGCGGCCGTGGCCGGCGGGGCAATACTGGAGGTCAGGGTGGTGGTCTCACTGGTGGGGCTGTTCTGAGCAGTGGCAAAGGTTTCGGTGATAGTGTCAGAGTTAGTGGTGACAGTGGTGACAGAAGGCAGCATGTCCTCGACAGTGGCTGTGGTGTCGGCAGGCAGCCTGTGGGAAGGACAGAAAGTAGAAGAGAATAGACAATGAAGCTGAGACGTGACAGAGARGCTGGGCAGGAGGGCTGAAGCCAAGGAGAGGGGCCATGGGTAGGCATGCAGTCACGCACGGGCAGGAACAAAGGCCCACAGAGAAACGAGCACGCTGAGAGGAAGTACAGCCCAGGCGGGCATCAGAGGACACAGGAGACGACAAAGAACATGGCAGTCTCAAAGGGACCTGCTAGCCTTTCCTCCCTGCTGATGGCCCTCCAGCTCTCTGCGCAGGGCTCCGGTCACCTACAGGCCTGTCTGGGGCTTTCTCATGTCTGCCCTAGATTTCCACTTCAGGAGAGGCASCTTCAGTGCAGTGTCTCCCTGCTATCGGCTTCCAGGGCCCCAGAGCACCATGGCCCCGCTATCCTGCAGGGCTTCCCAGGCCAGTGATGGGGAAAGTCAGGAATAAGCAGATGACAAGTGTTCCAATGGCTCCTAAGAGCCGTGGGTTCTTCCAGCCATGGATTTTATGGACCTGTGAAACTCTGTTCCCTTAAACCCTTAAGATGGTTGATAGGCAGGCAGGTGGACAGGCAGGCACAGCTGATCAGGGCCTCTGGAGGATCCTGAGGCTTCGGAGTGGACGAGGGCCAGGAAACTTTACCAGGTAGGTCCCCAACTTCTGTGGCACAAGGGGTTCTGTAAGGGCACCCAGTCACCCCAAATAGAACCAAGAATGCCCTCTGATGAAAGTGGGAGGGACCAGGCATTTCCTAGCCAAGTAGGTCTTCTGGCCAAGGGCTTCAAAACCTTGGCCTGCCATGTTGGGCTGGGAACTGAGTGGGAAGCATGGCAAGTGGGGGTAGGGTGGCGAGGTGGGTTGTGCACTCTACTTAGGARGTGTCAGCCCCTCTCTGCCCACATACTCGGGCTCTGTCAGCGGCGTGGTCTCATTGGGTTCTGTGTGTTTCCCTCCGTCATGGTTTGGGGTCCGTTCCTCCTCAGTTCGAACCTCCACGATGGGCTCCTTAGATTCATCTTTCCTGTGGACAGAGTTCAGCTGGTGAGATCAGGGGCCATTGTGGGTATGCCCAAGGAAAGCAGCTATGACTCAGGGTACCTAGGCCTACCTAGTCCAAGCTGGCCAGGTGGGCATCTAGAGCCAGATACAAGCATCTGTGTCTCAGCCTGACCCTTGATAGCTGTGGGACCTTCAGTATCTGATGTAATCACCCAGTAACTTGGGGCAAATAATCACATGTACTTCATCTAGTTTTGAAAATTAAATGTGATAATGCATGTGATGTGTTTAGCACATCTTGTAGATAAGTGCTCAAACAGACACACATATACACATATGGATACACTTGTAAGTAGGTAGATGTATGTGCACATGTGTACACATGTATATGGTGCCTGGCATGAAATGGGATTAAAGAAATTATTTTCTTGCTCCATCCTTTCTTAGCCTGCCCAAGCTGTGCCCCACTGGGTGACCATCTTCAAATGTTCTCGATAACTGGCTCAGTATCTGTTTCTGCACAGATGCTGTTGGAGGAACACTATCTGGATCATCAGCTAAATGAGGATAGAAATTTTATCTGTTTCATACCCTGTTGTAACCTAGAGCCTGGGAACAGTGCCTTGAACTAGCTGCTTGGTAAATATTTGCTTAGTGATGAATAAATGAATGAATGGGAGCAAGGTGAGTGTGTCCCCAGGTGCTGATCCCTCTGCCATAGCTCCTTTCCAGGACCTTTGCTCTGACAAGGCCCCTGCTTGGAGTATCTCAGGGATTTCCTAACTTTCATGAGATTCTAATATGCTGGATGTGGGTTGGGCCCAAGAGTCTGCTTTTCAAAAAGATGGCTCCCAAGCCTGACCCAAGTGTTTTTGCCCYGCAGTGTTTCCAAGTGGAGAAGGTGAAGCTGAGGGAGAGGTCACTACAGGGACCAGCGGATGGCTTGGGGGTGGCACCACTGCTGGGCTCCTGGGCTAGGGCAGATCCCAGACCTTGGCAGGGCGGCAGGTCTGCACTCACGAGAAGGCCGCCTTGCCCTCCTCCATGTCCTTGCCCTTGGCTCCAGGCCCAGCTTTTCCACACAGATTGACGGCGATGCACATAAGCAGGCCACACTTGTTCAGGAAGTAGCAGGTGATGTCCACGACCACCAGGAGCAGCACGAAGATGACAATGAGGATGCCCACGATGGCCCCGGTGCTCAGTCCTGAGGTRGGGCTGCCATTGGCTTAAGTGGGAGAAAGACGGCCGGTGGTTAACAGACTGAGATGGAGCCCGCTGACCCTACAAGCAACAGCCCCTGGGGGTCGGGTAGGGCTTAGAGTTCCAAGCCGTGGCATTCACGCCCAGAGTGACTCCTTCCTTGGGGCCCTTCTATACCCTGGTATTGAGGCCACAGGCTGTCTCTGTCTTCCAGAGGGAGGGATGATAGCTCCATCTTATCAAGGGGACAGGAGCGTGGAGCTCCTTCAAGTCAAGATGAGAGTGGGGCCTGAAGATGAATCTCCAATCCAGCCCTTGACTTCTGAGCCTCCCCTGTACCCATGCACAGCTGGCCTCCTAGTGAGTCCTGGGAGCAGACAGAGCCCAGCCAGGCAGTGTCTGAGGACCCTGGATAAAGACATGGTGGAGGGCACTGCTGTGTGTCCCCTCTGGACCACGGCAAAAGGCTTTGCACTGTAGGCAGAGAGTGACTGCGGGTTTCAGGATGGGCTGTGGCTCTGGGAATAGTGAGGGTCAGGGTTCCCTGGGCTTCCATGGGGCTGGTGAAGGGGGTGGTTCAGGCCCAATGGCATGTGGATACACTCCCTCCCCCCTTTAGGAATAACTCCAAAGAGCCCAACMCTGTAGTACACTGGGCTCATGGTTCACCCTCTTGTTCTGTATCCCAGGAGGACAAATGGAGCTCATGTGACTCTGGAGGCATGGAGGACTCCCCAGGCCTGTTTTTTTTTTTTTTTTTTAAAGTGAAGGGTCTGGGAATACTCACCATCTGGGAKCCTGGCATGCTTGGATCAGACTTCAGGAAAATCAGCAGGCTCACCCAGAGCTGCACACTCACACGCCCAGGCACGCTCACATGCAGGACAGACACCCACAGATGGACACATTCTCACATCCCAGCAGCACCTGGACCCTGGTTCCATTTCTGGCTGGACTCACTCTGAAAGACTCAGCCCCTCTGTCTAGCTCCCTGGTGTTCGTCTACGGTCCCCTGGGCCCATTGATGCTATCACAAAAGCCCCCATACTCTGTTCCTTGCATGGCCGTGACTGATGTTAGTTGCTTTGGATGGAACTACTGACCTCTTGGTGGTTCCGGTCAGTGTCTGGGAGGCAGTGGGGATGTGGAAAGCAAGAACTCACAAAGAGCTCTGCCTATAAGTCAGTGTAGAAATAATGACCCTAAACTGAAATATGGGCACTCCTGATTCATTTTTATTAGGTGTCAGGTTAGGCACAGTAGCCTGCCAATCATATACCATGCCAGTTAATGGGAGGATATGTAACTCGTAGATGGGCCCCAATCTTCTTTTCTCATGCAGCCTGTGTTMTGGGAGGAATTATTCTGTCTGTTCTACCGGTCCTTACCCAGGCGCTGAAGTGCTTCCCCAACAGCAGTGCCACTCTGCTACCAGCCCAGCATGCCAGAGGACCACTCACAACCTATTCTACATGGGACCTGAGCTGAAGGACAATCTCTTGCTTGCAAATGTTTTTGGCCCCCTTGGGACATTGGCTTGCTTCCCAGGCTTTCCTCCTTGGCTCTCTGGCTGATCCCTTCCAACACTGCCCTGAGGATTTCATCCCATTTCCCAGGAAGGCCCAAGAGTAGCAAGATTCTGGCTACCTATGTCTGGGCTTTGGCAGCAGGAAATTAGCTGCTGGCCCCAGCTGTCAGCTAGAGTGGGTCATTTTCTCAGCAGTCAGCTAATGCAGAGGCACTTCTGATGGGTTGAATGAGAACAAAACCATCTCTCTACTTCCCCATGTATCTACATTCTACCACCAAAGCAAAGAAAGATGCAGGCCTTCCTGTTCCTTAGCATCCCAAGCTGTTGGGGAAGTCACTATAGCCAGGAGTTTTCTCTCTATTCCATGACACTGGGCTTGAAGCCACTGCAACATCCTGGAAGCAACACCCGGTAGGTAGCAAGTGCCCATTTCCTGAAGGAGGAGTTGTAAGTATTTTTTTTTTTTTTTGATGTGAGAGGCTATGTCTGTATTTTTTGACTCAATAGCATTAATTCTATGTTCTGAGGTTTATAAATATTGTCCTCTGAGACTGCTTACATCTTACTGAAAAGCTGCTCTGTGTGCAGGACAGGGCAGCAGCTGGGCAGCTTCTGCTCTGGGTTCATCAGCTCCAGCTGTTGGCTGCACTGATTCTGAGCACATTTGAGAGAAGGTGTTGGGGGGAGGGTTTAGCAAAAAGACTCTGCACTATGGAATAAACAAAAGGGCAGTAGTCTCTCCTTTCATTTGATATAAAATTCAAAGCCTTCTCCCGGCCTAATAGACCCTAATTGTGCTGCTGGCCTTAGGCCTCAGGTCGCCTTCTCCCCGCCTAATAGACCCTAATTGTGCTGCTGGCCTTAGGCCTCAGGTCACCTTCTCAGAAAGGGCTCACCTGATTTTTTTTACCTAGCGAGGCTCCTGTACTCAGGGCCTATCACATCACCCTGTCCTAGTCTCCTTGCCTTTTTCTATTCATTTATATTTTCATTATCATTGGCTAACGCTTCTCAAAAAACCTAACAGATGCCTTCTCTCTCTCTTCTGTTTCCCCAGCACCTGGGATGACCCTGACTCACAGAAAATGTTCCCTGCACAACATATTTGTCACGTGAACTAGCGAGCGTTTGACCTGGAGATGAGAACACTGCTTCCAAATAATAAAGCTTTGTCATGAGAAGGGAAAGATGGCCTTTCTCGGTATGGCACCAGTGATATTAAATATGGGGGTGGGCTGGATCGCAGTTCCACGTGAAATAGCTAGTCCAACACAGTGAGAGCTGCCTTGGTAGGGGAGTGCCCTGTGGCTGGAGGCTTTCAAGCAGAGGCGAGACAATCTCTTGGCAGGGATGTTGTAATGGTGTGGATGAGGTTCCTGGATAGAGGATGTCTGCAAGTCCTCTTCAACCACCAGAGCCTGTCATTCCAGGTCAGATGTTCTACAGTGCCCAGCACATGGTACAGGTTCCCTCATGCTACTCTCCATAATGTCCACAGAGGACTTTTTTCTGGAAGGCTAAAATGCTCAATAAAATCCCATCTGTGATCATTGACCCTTGTGATTTTATTTTTCCATGAAAAATAAACACCTTTTAACTCAATGATTCTCCACCTGCAGTGGAATTCCTGGGGGTTCTTGTTAAAAACTGAGAAGCTGGGGCTCCTTAAGTCTTTGAAATCAGAATCACTGGGGATAGCCTCAGGTCTTCCTTTCCCTGAATCATACCGAATTAAAGCTGATCCTATGATCCAGCATCAAATAGGAGATGGGCTGCTTGCCCTGTTGTTTTGACAAAACAGAGGTGGCCTGATGTACTGGATAGATGGAGAAAAAGAAGACTTGTCCCTAAAACCAAGGAGTCCTTTCAGGCCACCACTGCTAAGAACTAAGACTTCTAGAGCAAGTGAGGTGCTCCTCAGGTTGAAGAGAGACTGCTGGCCTCATTTACAATAAGGGATAGGCCACAGGACGGATGAAAGGATATTCGAGGCAAGCCAGAACTCATTCCCTCTTGGTGGATGTCACAGGATTTTTCAGTTCAGGAAAGCTAGAGGGACAAGTGTCATCTCCTGCATCTCATATGTAACATTTCATGAAAGGAAAAGTAAAAAACCTTTGGGTGTCTATCTTTGCCACCATTGTCCCCTGACCTCCTTGACTAACTGGCCTGTGTCCCTGCATGCTAAGACAGCTTCTTGGAAGCAGCCTCCTCACAGCCTGGGCAGTGAGACTGCAAGGCTGGGGCTGTCTGTCTTCTGTGGTTCCTGGTTTGGGAGAGGGTGGTACRTAAGTGGGAACTCACTTGCGCCAAGACAGAGGCCCATAGACACTTACGTTCTTTCTTTCTTTTTTAAATATTTTGTTTTAGTTGCACACAATACCTTTATTTTATTTTTATTTGGTGCTGAGGATCGAACCCAGTGCCCTGCACGTGCTAGGCGAGTGCTCTACCACTGAGCCACAACCCCACCCCGGACACTTACTTTCTTGTGCCTTAAATTGGGAACATGGGTGTCTCATGCCTTACAGCTGCCCAGGTGAGCCAGAGTCATTGTGCCATGAGATATGGGTGTAGAAGTTCCCTCTTTGTCCCTTAACCCTCCACATGACTGTCAGATTCTCAGAACAATTGAGCTGGAGTCTGATTCACTCATAAAACCCCACATGTCTGCTTGCTCCTTCCTGGAACTTGTTACACAGATGGCTGGTCTCAGGGGCCTTTGAGAGGTATCGAAGGATGATAACAAACAGAACATAGTTGGCCAAAGAGGACCTTCTTTCATTTCTATCTCAAGATCCCTTTGTAGCCTCTGTTAGGAGTAAAGGTTGCTGTGTAATTGGAAGACCTTGTTACAGAGCTATGCATCTAATGACTCAGAATGTGCCTCTGTCCTCAGAGCAACCACCTTCCAAGTTCTGCAAAGGCACTTTCCCCTCCTCTGCCTGCTGAGGATTCTAAGGCAGAAATGGGTTTCTTAGGATAGCTGAGAAAAACAGTGTTCCACATGAGGGAGGAAAGAATCTCCTTTGGCTACAGCTCCATGAGATCAGGCTATGAATGTGAGGTCCAATTTAAATGTCTCTTAGGTAATCAGTTATCATGGGAGATGGAGGGAAAGGGCTTTTGACACTTTGTTGGACACACAACATTAAATAAAATTGAAACACGCTGGAGAATTCACATGAACTGTTATATCCTTTAATAATGCAAAGGTGTAAACTTCATAAAGGCCTCGCTGATTATCTACACAACAATGTTAGCATTCTTATTAGTAAAAAAAATGTGATCCAAACCTGCTGTATAAATATTCCAAAAATGAGCAGAGAAACCCCATGTCATGTGGCATGTGGACAGCACTAACGCAGGGCACAAAGGTAGGGTGGCTGGGCAAAGCAGGAGTGTGCGTTCCTGTGGGGCTCTCTGAGGGCCGCTTTCTTAAGGATCCCTGGCAGGGCTGGGGGTGGCAGCCTTCCCTGGGAACTCAAGTGTTAGGGTGGGTGGAGGGATGCACACTATCTCTGTCTTTTGAAGGCAAACTATTATAAACCACAGCTCTGTTTGCAAGACACCAAAGTTTTTCTATCTGAGGGTTGTCCAGCCCTGGGATGAGCTGAGGGATGTGCTGAGGGCACAGGAACAGTCAGGCCTCTCGATATTTAGAGTTATATCAGATATACTAATGCTATCCCTTTCCTCTGGGTGGCCTGGGACCCAGTCTGAGTCTGACCCCAGACCTGGCCCCCATAGGGTAAATATGTGTGACTTCTACCCAGGGTGATCAGAAGAACAGGAGAATTACGGAGGGGATCTCTTCTCCCTCCCCACAGCTCTCCCTAAYTGACCTGTGAGTCTCATGTCAGCCCTAGGGTACCATGTTCCTCTCCCCAGTGCTTTGCCCTGTGCCCAAGAACCATCCTGCTTCACTGCCTGGTGGGAAGAGGGGTCTGGGCTCCAGGAGAGAGGTTTGTGGCTGGGCAAGGGTGCTGCCTGCCTGAGTTAAGCCACGTGGAGCTTTGACACTGAATACTGGGGACATTGGTGGGTGCCAACACAGATAGCTTTGCCCACAGACCATAGCTCAGGGTTATTTGAATTCTCAAAGGGAAAGGCTAGTCTTTGAACATTAAAACACAACTGAAAAAAAAAATAAAAGAACCAAAAAGAACAAAAATCAAACTTCTGTGGAGATGTTCAGAGATGAGATAGGTAGAATGATGGGTGACCACAAGTGGGGAGGGAGTCTTTATTTGGTAGAAAGTCCACCTCCGAGCATACAAGCTCACACTACTGGGTGGGATTCAGACCTGCATCTCCAAATGTCCAACCTCAGAAAAAACACCCACCTCTTCTCCCGGGTGAACTCCCCAACAGCAGACAGGAGCACCTGGCTTTTCATGAGGGTTTTAAAAGTGTCACTGAATCAGTTGACCAATAGGGAAGCTAGGGCATTCTGGTAGAGCTGACAGGCTGAGCCATCCCTGATTTAGTGACACTTTAGTGGGGCTGAGTGGTCTGGGAGTGGCCTGTTCCACCCCTTTTGCACTTCTGAGTATAACAGTGAAGGCGGGAGTTGGGCCTGGTTCACAGTGGAAGCTTCCAACCTGCCTAGTGTACAGGTGATTATGGTAACAATGTGGGTCACAGCTAGACCACAACCCCCAAGACACAGAGGTCTGTGCTGATCTGCGATATGCTGCTAAGCAACAGGAGAATGACCCCTGCTGGGAGACAAGCACCTTTCAAAGCCAGCATGTGTTGGGCACATTGTGTCTTGGCCCTGTTCACAGAAACTGCAGAAGATACTGGTTATAATACCAGGACCAAAGTACCTCCCAGAACATTCATCAGCCCCAGAAAATATCCTAATCGATTCAGCTTTTTCCACTTCATAGGCAACAGGGGGGTTAATTTGCCCATCATGTCAGCAAAGTGCTCAGGTGAATCACCAAATCTGGCTCTTTAAACTGGGGCACTTAAATACTTAAATGCAAGCCAAGCCAGCTATTAATTGAAGGACGCAGGAGGGGCACAGAGTTAGAATGAGAGGGGGCATGTGGTGATTTCGACAATCTGAGGAGAGCTGTAGAACCCCAATTCTTCCTCTGCTACATTTTAGGTATGAACAAAAAAATTGCAATAGGTAGCAGAGACGCAGGAACTTTGCGGGGGGAACCTAGCCTGATGCTTCTTTCAAAAAATAGTCTTTAAAGAAAGAGCTCTCAGATTCTTTTTACTGCCATTAAAAAGGGGGGAAAACTCCTTATAAAGTGGCACAAGTATTTGTGAATGGCCAACATCAGGAGGTAAAGCTTTTTTCCAATTGCAAAGCCTTCCTCTTCCACACAAACTGCTCTCTCAGCTCAGTGGCCGTGGTGGGGCCAAGGTAGTCCTGACAGGTTCTTCCAAAGGGGCACTCATCGCTTTCATAGGAACTGGGCTTTTAAGCAAATTTAATTTTTGGGTTCAAGTTCCTAACAGAGCAAAAGAAGAGTCACTGCAGAGAAAAGCAATGAGACAAAGGTGTAGGATGCAGAATTGCCTCCCAAGGTAGCTGCAGTATTAAGCAATGGGTCCCCAGAGAGAAYGTGTTTGTTTAAAAATAAATGTGGCAGTGGGGATGTCCCAGTGATGTCCAAGGTGACAAGTGTAACGACAGACACAGGAAGGGGAGGGAGGGGGAGAGAAGGAAAGAGAAGGCAGAGACAGAAACAGAGAAAAAAAAATAGATAAAAAGAAAAACAATTAGGTCAAATATAGAAAACACAAGAATTCAAGGTTAATTCARCTTAGTAAATTAAACTGACAAAGGTTAGGGAAGAGTTCAGTGCGGTATCAATACCACAGGCCAGGTCAGAAGCTCAGCAAGGCCAGAAGCAGCACAGCGGGGTTAATTGGGGGAGGTCAGGGGCCAGCGAGCAAATGAAATTAAAGTGAGAGAACAGGAGCCTCCACAGTGAAATCCCAGGGTCTGATTAGGGCAGTGTTACCTCTTACTAAGGTGAAGCCTCAGTTGCAGCCAGCAAGTGTATGGTCTTCTAGTCGCTAGTGCTTTTGCCTGAAGCGGTAGAGATGCATTGGATGTCTGCGCTAGATCAGCAAACTGTGCATGAGGTGGGGGCTGCCTTGGTAGCGCTGAAGCAGACCTGTCTTCCTACTGCACAAACACCACCATTGTGCTGCTGTTAGAGTCCTGTGCACCTCACCTCCACCACCCTGCTGACCACAGCATTCAACCACAAATGTGTCTTGTGATGCAAAGAGGTTTTATTCTTGGACAATAATACAATGTCCAGGAACTTCCAACCAAGCAGAGCCACCTCCTTCTAAGTCCTGCACAGTAGACCTGCACAGCCATCATGGATAAGGTGAGCCACCCTCTCCGGCTTAGTGGGCACTTGGATGATTCACAAGGATTCTGGAGGACAAGGTCTCCCTAATATTTTTGTGTCTGACTCCCAAATTCCAGAAGTTGATGTTGCTGGTAGTATCCAGCATGGGAACACAGCCTGCCTAAGTGACTGCTTATGGGAGATCACCCCAGGGAACAACTGCCTTAAGGAACCTGTCTTGCTGCAAAGGATTTACTCAAGCCTCACATTCTCCCACCTTCTAAGTGATTGCAAAGACAGAACAGATCTGGACCTCACATCCTGCTGACCAAATAACACAGGAAAGAAGGGTCGAGGAAAAGCAAGTCCACCCAGATTTGGACATCCTAATAAGCAGCAATGAGAACAATCCTCACCAAGTGCCTTGACTTTTGCACCTGTAGGGACACGCCCCCCCCCCCCCCCAGCCTGAGACAGGGAGCCTTCCTGTCCACGCTTCGATCTACAGCTTAAAACTCACCTGCCAACTTGATGGAGGCCCCACGTGTCTCCCAGACATACCCATTCACACACAAGCAACCATCCAGAATCACTCACCGACCTCTTGTTTTGTTGCTGCCTGACTATATCACTTTTGCACATCCAGCCCTGCATTTCAAGCAGCCCACACCCCTTGTGGCCTGTCTCCCCCTGGAAGGAGCAATCACGACAACTGAGCCAAGGAACTGGCAATCTCTACAGATGGGACAGGCATAATGGARGCTGCCCAAGACTGTCTTCCTACCACACCTGAACATGGCAGAGTATGTGGGGTCCCCTCCAACAGCCTGCGGCTGTAAGATCTATGTCTCCTCTCCTGCCTATGGTTGGCATTTGTCTGGCCTGGAAAAGYAAAGTGATAGCTGAAGAACTTTTTCTTTGAGGGATTTGGCCAATGAGAGGACTGGTCATCAGTGGCAAGGTAGCTAGGCCAGAAAGCAGAACTCTCACTTTATTCCCACACTTGAGTCCATCCTGGATCCCTAGAGACAGATCTGCATCTCCTAGGAGGTCTTCCAGCTAAACAATCTCTAGCAGACTGCCTGCCTTTCATGGATGGTGCTTTCCAGCATCTGTCTTCTCCACTTGTTCCATTTTAAGAGGTTCAATTTAATTTCCATTTCAGGGGAGAGGCCCTTGGCAGATAGGATTTGTCACTAACTGGGCACCATCTCTTCCTTCTCTTGGGGTCACCATAGAGAAGAGATTTGGACCATGGTCATGCAGAGAAAGCCAGCATCATATAGAAAGTGCATAAAACAGTTATGTGTTCTATTATGGAATGGTAGATGGCAGATAAGGTCTCATAAAGGATCCTTACTCAACCAGAATCCAAGGCAAGGCAGGAGCTGGGCATTTCCCATCTGAGGGGTTCATGGACTGGTTAGCATCGGTCCTTCAAGGCCGAATGAGACAGGACCTTTTCCCCAGGATGCTTGGCCAAGCCTTCCTGGGGGTCCAGTACATCTCAACCCACTGCGCAGATAGGTACAAGGCAAAACTAAGCTTGGCTGGGCAACCAGTCGTGAGGATGGCTGTAAGCAAGCAAGTTGTCAGGGTTGTTCAGGCGCATTAGGAGGAGCAGCACTTGTGCATTAATTCAAAGCGGAAAACCACTWGAAAGCGGAGGCAGTCATACCTGGGATGGCTGTGGGCTGGGCCGAGGTCTTGAACACAAAATGAGCTGCCTTGGACTTCCCTTGCTGGTTCTCAGCCACCACATACACCTCGTACTCAGCATTCCAGTCCAGGGACTTGAGCATGACATGGTCACTACCAGACGGGAGCCTGATCTCTGGTTTCCACTCGGAGGAGATCTTCTGGGAGAAATCGGCAGGAAAGATACCAGACACCAGAAAGTTTTAATACAAATGCTGGTGAGATCTGCTAAAAGGCAAAACTTAGGGAGTCTAAAACTACAGGTGTCAAATTGCAAAAACATGAAGCAATAAAAGAACATGGTCCTTGTTCTTTGTGAGCCTGAAAAATGCACAGATGGGGAGGTCAACACTGCAAATGCCAGTGTGCACAGGGACAACACCCTCACTGTCTCAACACCTTCCGGGCATGCAGGGGCTCAAGCACATTCCCCTTTGGTCCAGTCTACATTCTGGAATGCTGGGCACACAGACACGAGGGCTTTTTAGAAGTGTAGTTAAATTAATACGCTTCTTGTCCTATTTCAGAATTCTGTTCACACTCAGGTGTGTGATTCACCTTTCTGACCTGTGAGCACTGCATAGACTCCAATTTCACTATCAACACTCATTTATTGAGCACACACTTTGTGCCAGGCACTGACCTAAATAGGCTGTCTACACATTTTCTCATTGTGTCTCTACAATAAGTCTACAGGAGGTTTTTGTCAGGCTCTTACCAAACCTGATGATGGGGATGTGAGAGGGAGGGTAGGTAAATTCCCAAAGTCACTCTGTAGTCAAGGTTGGAGCTAAATCCCTCTGGGCCCAAAGCTGTGTAGGGTGCTTTCATAATAGGGAGCTTGGCATACATCTATTGAAATGAATTATTATTATTCTTTATTCTACATAATGTGACTTGGTCTCCAGCACTGTAGCTGAAGGGATGAGGTTCTGCTGTCAGGCCTAACCCAGAGATCCTCAGAGGGGCCATGAGGAACACCCCACAAGGAGGGCCCCACACAGCATTGCCTAGGGCAAAATGACAAGCTTGAAGGCTAGGATTCTGGGTGTGTCTTTTTTTCTCAGCCAGCATTCTCTGGTTATTGCCTTCACCTTTGCCAACGAATTTGCACTGGATGGGAGTTTCCAAAGCCATTGTTAAGCAAGGGCCTCCTTAACAAAACAGTTGTGGGAAAAGATGCAGAGGCCTCTGAGAAATCTTCATGTGGTTCTGATCACAACCTCTGGCCCTTTCTCAAGGCCTGTGCCCTGAGATACATGCTGGACACACAGGAAGGTCTAACAAATGCTTACTGAAAGACAGGCTGCAGAACATGGCAACAATGGAAGGTGGTCCAGAGCCCCACAGGCCCAGGGCTGATGGGAGTCATCTTACAGCAAAAGAGGTCTTACCAGGCAAAACCATTTGGACCAGTCAAAAAGACACCTTTAAGAATGTGATAGTGCCCATGCCAGGGCCTGAGACTATTATGGGGAAATGCTAGAAAAAGTTGTGATTTCCTAGTGCCTAAGCAGGATGCCTGGGCTGTGCTGTAAGTTAGCTTTGTGTCTGCCACTACGGGGTCCTGTTTTCATTTAAAACAAAAAAATTGAGCCGTCTGTCTGTACTCTTCTTTCTCTGTCTTCCTCAGCAAACATCATTACAGAAGAGACAACCCGACTACAAAGCAAACATTCAAAAAAGCAAACATTATGTTATATAATACATATTAATAATACATGATAATATTTAGCAAACAATAAGTTTTGAAGTGAAAGGGAGAGGGTGGTTATCATTACTGAAATCTAAAATAGCTCGGGAGTTTTACTCCGGTTGGTTGTCTTTCTAACACAGTTATGATGGCTGGCCCTGGAGGTGGCCTCCTGTGGGAGAAACTTTTAGCTGGAGCCTGCATCTTAGCAGAAACTGTAGCTACCATTTATAGAGGCTTCCAAGGGCCACACATACTTCAGGTTCTTTGTAGACAATATTGTGAATCTTTACAACTTGGTAAGTTATTCTATCCCCATTTTACAGGTGAACTAATGGAGGTTTTGGAAGATTGGGTGACCTCGTCAGGTCTTATGCTGGTACGTGGTAAAGCGGGAACCGGATGCCTTGCCTGTCTGGCTCTAAAACCCATGCTCTGTCTACTGGGCCACATTAGCTTCACAATGGCCAGAGGCAGTTCATCCTACCAGTCCATCTGCTTCCAGTGGAGTGTGCAAAGACCTGCCTGGTCCTGGCATCCTTCTCTGCCCTGAGGAAGCATAGAGACCTCTCATTCTGTGATCCCTCTGGGCTGGGTCTTAAAAAGTCAACTGAGTTTTTCTCTACTATATCAGATCACCCCGGCATGACTTAGAAATTAAGTGGGAAGCAGGGCTGCATTGACAGCCTGCCCACTGGCTGAGAGGAGTGCCTGGAAGGCTCTGTGCTGGACCAACTCTCTAGAAGCCTAACTAGCTAATGACCCAAATGTCACTTCTACCTCGGAGGCTGATCACACGACAGAGAGAGGAAGCCAACTTCCTGGAAAAAGCCTTACTTGGGCAACTTGAAGAAAGGAAACTGCTCTCTGGCTCATTATTTTCTATTGCTAAGAAACTCTAGCAACAGGCTGTTCCCAGTGCCCAGAGACTGTCTTAACATCTCTTAGCAACTCTTGTGGTTGATGATGAACAAGCATCGTTGGATTTGGAGAGGTTGGGGGTGAAAGGTGGAATGCTRGACATCTTAGATGAGTGATGAGCAAGACAGAAGAAGAGGCTTAGAGCCAAAGAGCAGGGGAAGGGAACAGTGCAGCCTTAGGATCTTAAGGCAGCTTCAGGCAGGGGTAAGAGCCCAGGCTCATCAGTTACTTGAGCCTGAATTCAAATTCCAGCTCACCCAGCTGGRTAAGACCTCCAGCTTCTGCTGCAGCTCTGGTTACTTCACCTGTTCAGTGAGGAAAATTTCAAGTCCCGCTTCACAGGGTTTTTGTGCAGAGAACACGCCTTTACATAACTTTATAGAAAAATTTAAGAACCAGGAAAACCAATCATGGTGTGGGTCTGTCAACACCACAATCATTTTAAGTGTTTTCAAATGGTCCAATGGTCTAACAGTTCCAGATGGTCTTAGGATTTAAAACCCTGTGAGTTTTAAATCCTCAAGTGCCCATGAGTCAGCTATAGGATACARTACAAGAACTGTCTCACTCCAGCCTACCTGGGCTTCACCTGGTTGTCCCTTCAAAGGACAAGGCAGGTGTCAGTGATGCAGGGATGGGGTCGAGCCTGGGGTAGAAGGCTACTCACCGCTCGGTACTTGACCAGATAGTGTCTGATGGGGGAGCCGCCGTCGTCCTGCTTGATCAGGTTCACCTTAATAGAGTTCCCGTCCTCTCCCATCTGCCCTTCGAGTTTAGGTGCACTGGGCTCCCCTGAAACAGCCAGTGAATTCACATGAAATTTTGGTCTACAGAATGATAATCAGATCCATCAGAATGGGATATAGGGATGGGAGGGGAAGGCTGGGCACTTTTCTTGCTTTTTCACAAATTGAATGATTAAAACACAATAATACAAACCCTCCAAGTTCCACTTAGTTGCATCACTCAGTTGTAGCTCAAAGGGAGTGTGTCTTTTGTAAATGTTCTGGGTAACACTCTCCCTACCAGCACTCTGTTTTACTAACAGGGTTTTCCTGTCTCTCTCACTGCTACTTTCATTTCCTTTCAGCTGCTCTCACACTGCAGATCTAATTTTTATGAGCCTGGCACATCTTGACYGACAGCCTGAAATATGGGAAAATGTAAGTGTTTGAGCAGAAAAGTTACACCCCTAGAATTATTTTTCAAAACAGTCCAGTTTTTCCCTCGGGTACATCACTCGCCCCAAAGGCCCAAGGGTTTGATCCAATGGGACTGAATGCTGTTACATTCTTGTGACTAGCTTTTCATGAATTAAATTTTTATTGTTTAGAATCATTTAGAAAAATAAGTTTCCAGTTACKATGAAATAAAGCACAAACTGCCACAGGCAAGTTTCCTGTAACTATACGGCATTTATGGCTCAACTGAGTGAGTGATAATCCTCAGCACTTCAATGTATTAAAGCAACAGTCATTAAAGTACTTTCTCTTTGTGAGAGGGGAGAGAAAGAAATTGGTTTTAGCGCTGCTCAACAGAAAAGGAAAAAAGTCAATGTTTCTCTTTATGTGTAGTATATGCTCGCTCAGACTGAGGCGCTATGAATCYGAGTTTGAGAAGAAAGATGAACCTGAATGTGAAAAACTACCAGGGCTAGGATGGCTCTTCCCTAAGACGCGGATTTACTTTGAGAGAAACTATTTTGTTAGTGTATGCTGAAAGCAACAGGTGAGAGATTATCTGATATCAAGAGTAACAATTAAGATTCAACACACTTGGGGATCCTGCACTTACTGGGAGGAGCCACCTCCATTATTATCTCTTGAGCTCAGAGAGGAGGCTTGGGGGAAGCTATGCAATAGTTACCTTATGGGTGAGTCCCTCTGTCTGGCCAGGAAAACAATCACAAAAATGATAGAAGAGCCAGGAAAAGGCTGTCAYTAGGCTGTGGACCTCATCACCCCACTCTGCACCACTGGCCCTGTGGGAGCAGGCTGCTGGCAGAGGCAGTGTTTAGCTTGGCCTCCTTGCCCAGCTACTTTGTGAGCCTCCTCYCTTTGATACAAGGAGGAGCTGTAGAGAGCTAACACAAAGCCTTGCTATTTAGCACATCAGGCCARCAGCGTGCATATCACCCGGAACTTGTTAGAAATGCAGACTCTCATTTGGTGACCTGCGTGCATGGTTAGGTTTGAGCAACKGTGTGACAGGGACAAATAACACCTGCAGCAGGAAGGATACACGGTCTTGATGTCTAGGGATATTTAGGAAAAGTTGTGTTTATTATTTGTTTTCTACAAGAAGTAATTAAAGGWAAATGAAGACAGGATTACCAAAATAAATGGGCTTCGAGCAAAAACTGTCCTGATTTTGAGCCATTATCTAGCCACTCACCCAAACTAYTCAGTGGAAAATATGTAGACATTTAGTTTAGGTATATCAAGGTATGTAGAGGCTTTTCTAAGTCTTAGATGCTAAYTTAGTATGTCTACATCATTGTAAGTGTCCAGTGTCAAAAGAAGCTCAAAGTAGAGTCTGTTTTAGAGTAGGCAGGAGCTCTGTGTAGATTCTGCCATGTTGAACCAATGAAAGGAGGAGACACCGTAGAACTTGGTAGATTCCTTTCTCTGACTTAATTAGGGTAACCAACTTATCACAGTTAGACTGGAACATTCCAGGTTTTACCACTGCAAGTTTGACATCCCAGGAAACCCCTCAGGCCCAGGCAAGCTAGGATGGATGGTGACCCCTGACTGATGGGAAATGTACATTAATTGCAACATGCTGTGTGTTGGATGGTCTWTCTGCCTTTAGGAAGGAGGTGATTTCTATCAGGCAGTATCAGTGACCCTTCTAACACATCAACTAGGCAAGGACCACATGCTCCCCCAGGGACTCCTTGGGACCACTCAAAAATGAGTTTCTGGGGGCTGCTTTGCCTGATGCTTCTCACTCTTTCCTCATGGAATGGAGTAGTGTGGGTTTTCAAGGCTGAGCCAATACCATGAGATGCCTTCTCTGAACTCTGCTTCTCAGGAGCCGTGATGTCATAGCCAGGTTACCACCTCTTTGCATGTCTGCAGCATGTGGCCACTGGATGRAATACTAGGGTTCCTTCCAGCTCTGCCACGTGGTGACACTGTGACAGGGTCACCGCACTAGAGTGATCTCCCAACTACGCCTCTGCTATTACTTACAACACCATGAAAGAATGAACCTATGATATATGCCTTCAGCCAGTTTTAGGGAGATATACCCAAAGATTGACAATTCTATATCTCTAAGGCACAATTCTATATCTCAACTTTTGCTGTACAATTTTTGAAAACTTTTCTCAAAAATGTTCTATCTTTGAAAAGAGAATCCCAAGCCTCTTTAAAGATACATGAACAAAAAAAAAATCTCTCCAAGGAATGCTTGTAGAATCCAATGGCCCACAAGAAGAAACTCTCTCATGTCTGGATTTGTTTCAGAAAAAAAATATTATTGGAATCACAAGAAAAGCCCCTAAAAACTGTGCCACAGTTAAAGTTCTAACATTTACTATAGTTAGAACACTATAATTTGCTACCATTTTATCTGAGTGACTACCATGTTAGTCAGATGTGTATTGTTTTCTCATAGAATTTTAAGAATTTTCTATTGTATAATTTTTAGGTGTATTATTTAGAGTGATTTCCCCACAAAATTTATTCACCAAATGTGTACTGTGTGTCTACTAGATACCAGATAGACTGTCGGGCAATGAAGTCTTAAAGATAAGATATGCTTTTGCTAGCTAAATGAAAGAACTTAGTTACGATCTTTTAAAAAAATCATGAGACTCTTGGACTTAAACATAACCCTTCCTCTGACAGTATTCCTACAGGAAGATCATTTTCGACTAAAATCATGGAGATTTTGATAGACTTTGTGGCTCTATAACTTGCTGTAAGTACAGTAAAATTTGGATAAAGCAATTGTTTACTCAGTTGTCTAATTCATCTTCAAATGTTTACCACCATCCACGTTTCTTAMAGGTTAGAAATGGGGTTAAAGAGCCTTTCCTAAGCTCTCTGCACAAAGCTGGGCTTGACAGGGAAGTAGTCACTGCAGAAGCAGTGAGAACCCAGCATTCAGGAGACTCATTGCTTAATTGAATACATTAGCAGAAGAAATGATTTAAAGGGTCTTAAGGTTCTAGGGTGGCTGCTGTGATTGAAATCATTATGGGCAATTTCAGCAAAACCAATATGGCAATTATTTGTAAATGTTGGTTTGCAATTCAGCAGGAATAGGCAGGTTGCTCTGACAAGACCCCTGGGGTTAATTATACCCTTTGAATTTAGTTTCAGCTATGACTCAAAATTTCCCCCCAAATATTTTATGCAAAGACGAAAGTAGCAGTACCCTAAAAATAAACCTTGATGATAGCAAATATGAAAACTGGGCAGTTCTAGTATTTTCTAGCAGGATGTGAATAACCAGCTCAAGAAAAAAAAAAAAAGAATGTGCCATAGAAGCACACACTATCATAGGCAGTTTTATGAAATTTTATGAAATTCCCTCTAGAAACCATAATTGAAATGTATATTTCTGGCCATGCAGATTGTAGGTTCCTCCTTTGTAATTACTGGGCTTCTCTGCTCTTAAATCTGAGTCTGCTTCAGGCCCTTCCTCCTATTAGCAGGAGCCCTGGGGTTAGGAACTACTGCTGGACTTATGAATCCCACAGCATAGATGATACATAGTATAGGGTGTTGGGAAGCTTTTGTTAATTTTAAAATGAAACACTGTTCTGTTTTTGACTCAAAGAAGCTGAAGCACCAAGAGCTATACATTTTGCATTAAATGCCGAGGTGCCAAACAGCTATCTTCCAGAAGGCTTGATCTGTTCTCTACTTGTCCACTTTATTTTCTCTCCCCTAGGGACCCACACAAAGTTTCCCGGTCTGAGTGTTAAACCAGTGATGGATGTAGGGCTTGCATTAAAATCTCTTATTGTTCCCATCAAACAACATTGTCATACATTAAAAATAATGTTCATTTTGTTTATCCTGACTCCTGTCTCCTTTGGTTGGTTCTTTCTTATAAGCAATTTGCAACTTGTGTAAAACTGTTTTTATTATTTGCTTTTAAAAAGCCCAACATGTATGATTTAGCTATTTAGATATGAAGCCTGAGTCTATTCCATTTTTTTCCCACTCAGAAACATTACAATTTCATCAAGCAGTTATTGATAGGTCCTTAAGAGATGAGCAAATTACTTTGGGGAACTGGGATTTAGATTTATTAGACCACCAATTGTCTTTCCTGAAAACAGCTCTTGGCTGTAGATATAACGCAAATGAATGTGAGATCCATGTTGCACACATTCTTGGGTCCACATGACTGTCTCTGATATCTCTTTTGGTAACCTACCTGGCTTTCTGACAGTCAGAAAGAGCAGACTGACCATGCTAAGTATAGGTATCCATTTGCCTTCAGCATTGTTCCCCCCAAATCTGGCCTCTGGGGTCAGGTGTCCTATCTCCTCTCCAGGATTAAGGATAGGCTTGTGCTAAGTGACCTGACTCTGTCATCCTAGCTCCTGGTTCCAAGGGAGGCCAGGATACAGAATGAATGGGTACAGACATGGCCAGTTCCCCAGGTTCTACAGAGAAAGGATGCTTAGTTCTCCGGGACTGAGCTCATGGAGGCACCTGGCCCATAAATCCTTTTCAGCCCTGGTTTCCTTAGGAATGGTGAATGTGCTGGAGGTGGGGTGGCACATGGCAGCACAAAGTACAAGCCAAGCATCGACAAATGAGCTCTGACAGACAGAACCACAAAAACACCAAYTCCCTTCTCGTGGGTGTCATGAAAACACCAACAGATTAATTGATCAATTATCTTTTTTTCATCATCCTAAAAAGAAAATATGACCATGAAGGTATGGCTTGTGGTTATGGGGCTGATCCAGGCTGAGGAAGTTACGACAGAAATAACTATCACCAACAATTAACTTGGCTCCTGCCTCCGCGGCCGCAGGGTGGTGTGGGGAGTTGGTGCACATTTTCAACAGCACCTCATGGACATTAGATGGGTTATTAAGAAGAACGAACCTTCTTAATAATGTTCCCACCCTCATGCTGGTAATCCTAGGGGAACTGGCTGCCAAAGCCAGCCCTGGCCTCAGTCTCTGCCCACAGGATTTGGGCTGATACTTCGCTGCCTCCTCCTTCAGACTGTTCCCACTAACTCTCTACCCTGGGAGCCACCAGTGTGGGGAATCCTTAGAGATAAAGGCAATTAGAACAGAAACCCTGGTGAAAAGTCTGTGTCCACCTGCCAGAGACCATGGCCATCCAGACACACAGCTGTAAAAAAAAATAAAGGAGGGTGTGGAAGGGATGGTTAGTGATGTTTTCAATCTAAGAAGGAAGAGTAGGTGTTAAAAGAGTTTAGTTCATCAGAATCAGCATTTCCAAGTCAGTGTCAGTAGCTAAAGAAAAAAAAAGATCATTATGAATGGATGGGGAGGGAGCCATGCTCAACATGCAGCACGTGACAGAAGGGGTGCAGGGGGCTTTGCATCACACACATGCTGGCTGGGGACGGCAGGGGAGTCCCAGTTACACCCAGTCCTCAGCAACTGATGGACAGAATCATGGCTCTGGGAGTCTCTGGAAGTCCTGTAGTTACACGAGGCAATGATGGCAGAATAAACTTCTCTGTGGAGCATTGAAAACTGACTTCTGCCATCCTATTACAATTGCCCATGCTTTATCTGTCATAAGCCTTCACACCCAAGCCCTGAAGGCTCAGGAGCCAACTAACAATGGAGGATGGTGGACAGTCCCTGTTTTACCTACTTTATTTATTCAGTACTGCTGGACTCCATAAACACTGTCCAATTGAACTTAAAGGTGGATGGAGCATGCAGCATATATTAAGTGCATCCCAGCAAGTTTTTTATGTGGGTATGGAGAGAGGGTGGATAGAGAACCTTGGGTTTCATCCATTGTTGGGTATATAACTCCCCGATGTGAGAAAAACCTCCAGCTCAAAATTTTTGAATTCAGGTCTAATTCACCTTCAGTGCTTAGTAAATTTCAGGGAAAGGAAGTGATAACTGTCCTTCACAAGGGTTTATTTATCTCCTCTGGTAATTTTAATTGTCCTGATCTCTGTATTCCCTTAAACTTTATTATTAAAGGCCACTTCCTACTGCTGCTGGTGGCTCTCCTGAGAAATTTCTGACCCTTGCAGATGGCAGGAGAGGATYGGTCATGGATGGGAACATAGTTTGATGAGGGGTAATGATAGCTTTAGAATTCCATAAGGCTCTCAATGATTTTTTTTTTTAAGTACTGATCACAGTTTTTACTGACAGCCAAGATCACTGCTAAGGCATGCATCTAGGACAACTATAGAAAACATCTTCTCATATTTATTGTTTTGTTTAAACGTTTAGAAAGAGTTCTCTCTTTGGAGGAGTTAATAAGTTTCTATTTTAATGTTGTGCTTTKCTTCATTCTGAATTATAGCATTTCACAGAAATGACCAAACCTGTTTTAAAACATAAGCGAATGAGTTCCAAAGCCAATATCCAGCATCTGCTCACAATTAGCATCTCAGGGGGAAGGGCCAGATCTTTTTCCAGAGCATCAATGTATGGTTTGGATATGAGGTGTCCCCCCAAAACTCCCACACTAATGCAGAAATTTTTGGAGGTGAAATGACTAGATTATGAAAGCTGTAATCTAGTCAGTCCATCTTTGTTTGAATGGACTGACTGGGAGTAATTGTAGGCAGGTGGGGAGCAGTTGGAGAAGGTGGGTCACTGGGGTATGCCTCGAGGGGGTTCTTCTCTGTGATCTCTGCTTCCTGGCAGCCATGAGATGAGCAGCTTTCTTCCTCCATGATCTTCTGCCATGATGTTCAGGCTTTATCTTGGGCCAAGAGCAATGCATTTGGCCGACCATAGACTAAACTTCTGAAACCATGAGTCAAAATAATCTTTTCCTTTGCTAAGTGGTTCTTATTGAGTATTCTGGTCACAGCAATGAAAAGCTGAGTAATATAATCAGTCACTGAGCAGTCACCACAAGTCTGAAAGAATTCTGCTCCTGCTGGTTGCCAACTTTAGGGAAGTACTAAAACTATAGTATTTGGGGTGGAACTTGAGTTTAGAAAATCTGAAGTTTCCAATATTCTCTGCCCTATGACTGTCAGATCAAGATAATTTTTGAAGGTAGGTCAAATCTTACTGTGTACAGCGTCAGGTGTCCTTCTGGGGATGTTCCCACCATATTTCCTATGATGTAAATATCAAACGGTTCTTTTTGGAAACGAGGTGGCTTCTGTGCAAGTTCAGGAGCCTGGTTGTAAATGGGACTAGAGCAGGGCTAAGCTGCCATACCTACAAAGCAGAAGTCCTCAGAGATGGTACATAGTAGATGTAGCATGAAGGAGAGGGAAAATACACAGGGCTAACACATGTGGGGAGCATGACGYAGAAGAGACAGGGAACAAAAAAACATGCGAGACGAGCTGTTGATGGTTTTGACTGTGTGGATGTCGCCCAATCAGTTCTCAAGAGAAGTGAGGTCCAACGGGAGAACCCCTTGCATGCACGGGCACACTGGGTGGTTATTGGTGTTAGTTTTGCTTTTGTGGTCAATGCAGCCTGTATGTATCTCAGGGCGTGATGTGAAGTAAAAATTTTCAGTTAAGAGAGGGGGATGCATTTGACTCCCAGGGCAGGTTCTGAACAGGCAATTTTAGTTAGGGAAGCTGTGAGCAGAGGCTTCCTTCTTCTCTCTTTATGGTAAGTGAGAAATGTTTTTAACGAGGTTGTGACAGGCACAATATTAACTAATTATTTTGTCACCGCTATGTGCTTAATTAGGCTATAATTTTATTTCCTTTGCTGCAAGGGTCAATCATGTGCTTCTTGATTACACGGAGATCTCCAGTCATGGTAATTGCCAAGTGACTTTTGCTTGATTTGTCCCCCCTGCCTGGGGGAGGGCCACTCTTGAAAAGTGACACCTTAGTAATCACAGCCAAACTGCTCTAATGCAAATTCCTATTTCAGAAAGTCCTCAATTTGCATGAATTGTATGAAGCACTCTCACTGGTTTTGAACAAATATAACCTTTGCAATGGAGTATTTCTCTCTGTCTCACTTTAAGATTGCAAACATTTTCATGGGACTGGGATTAATTTTAGAACAATGGTGGGGAATAGAACTTCTGGATATAAAGTTAAATAACAATGTTATAGGGCTAATTACAAACATGTTTCTGGGAAATATTTTTTTATGAACTCTCTGATAAAAATTCAAGTTTGCAAACTGTACTGTGGCTAAAGTGGCTTCCCTTAGAGAGCAGCTGGTGTGACCAAATGTCTTGAAGCAAAATATTAAACCAAAGACAGTCACATTATCTAATTGCCACATTGGACAGTTGTAAGGAATGATGAATTCTGGGTGTGAATTGAGAACAAGAGGAAAGCTCTCAAATGGCTTCTTTTAGGATATCTGAAGTGGAAAGACCCTTGGTGCCAGGCTGTGGTCCCAGATTTATTTCACTAATCAGAATAAAGAGTTTTACCTTCTGTTCACCAGCGTGGACGACATCATCAGCACCATGCAAGCCACATGACAAAGTCACATGATACGCACGCACATGATTGGTTGAAAGGAAAGTGGAGGAGGTCACATGGAAAATACAAAAAAATTAAAAACTGATGTAAACAATGGGTAGGGAGAAAAATCAACAACAAAATCACAGACTAAATAAAAGGAGAAATCAAATTAAATTAGCAGCATATTTAAGAAACATTGGGAGGACAGTAAAACTGCCCAGAAATAGGAAAATAATAAATCATAAAGAGCATTTGGTTAACAACACCAATAAGCATTAGATACAGCTGCAACACTGCATATTAATACACACTAAGGAACATGAACACTTGTTCTGAAATGGGGAGGTGTTTCTGTCAGGACCCAGATGTCAAAGTCAATCCAGGAGACTGTTAAAGGAAAAGAACAAAATCAAGTCATTATTCACAGACTCCAGAAATGTCTCAGCATCCTTGGGAAACAAAGGCAATGATGAAACAAGCCAAGGGCCATCAAGGTAAAGTCCTGAGATTGTTAAGGTGAAGACTCTAAGCCCTGGAAAAACAAAAGATCGCATTAAATTAAGAGAGGTCATTTCAGGTTTCCACTGGTGAACAAGGGGAGGGAACGTGGGCTGGATGGGGCTGGGTGGATACAGCCCAGAGATGCTGGCTTTGAGGGTCTTGTCTGGCTTCCCTACCTGCATACCCACAATATTGCTGACCTCTGCTGAGACTCCCCAAGGTCAAGACACATATAAAAGAAAAGGCCAGAGCATATCAGGGAATGGGTTTCCTTCTGGCAGCCATCAGGGAATGGCTCTGTCAACACTAATCTGGAGGAATTGAACCTCTGGCTGAGTGAGCTGAGAACGTGGCATTAAACAAATGCCTGACAGCATGTGGATGAAGTTATATCTCCAGACCTTAGGCTGCACTGATAGAAAATGAATGTGATATTCACAATGTAAAAAAAAAAATACTTCTCTATGTTCATATATGAATATACAACCAATGTAATTCCACATCATGTACAACCAGAAGAATGGGAAGGTGTATGTATAATATGTCCATGTGTATATAATAATATGTCAAAAAATATTCTACTGTCAAATAAACAATAGCCTTCTCATTTGGATTCATCTCTCTTCCTTTCAGTCCTGTGTTGTGTCCTCCATTCCAATTTGGGACTGAAGGATCTTGACCTCTGAAAAGGCATTTTGGGTTTCCCATCTCAACTTTCACAGGCTTRGGGAAGACTTGGTTATTGCAAGTTGAAGCTAAGGGGGAAGAGGGAGATCTATACTTTTTTGCAAGAGGCACACAGCTGGTTAAAAATAATCAGAGAGAAATTATTTAACCAAGTTCTATATGGCCTGCCACTGTAAGCTACCAGAATGTGCACTTCTTATTGTCCTTGGTTTCCACCTAGGGTGTCCTACAGGTGCCCAAAGTTTCTCTTTGAATTTTATTTAGGATACTTTTATCCACTCATAATTATAAGTGAATCTACTCACACATGCAAAACTAGGAGATGTTATTTATTTTCACCCTTACTGGTTGATGATCGATGGAGTTTTGCCTGCTTATAGCTATTTTGCTGTTAGTTCCATGCAAGTCACAGGCGCTACATTTTGTCTGGGGAGGAGTCTGTCCATGCTAAATATAGGCCACCACCCAATTGTGGCTGCCTCTACTTTATCTCAGGATCCACTGGAACCTATGATTTGGGTCAGTAGACAAGTGGTCCAAAATAAAATGGATTCAAACTTTCTTCCTTTGAATGTCACAACTAAGCATTTTGTCTGTGGGCGGCAATGGTTGTTTAAAAATTAAACATGACAGGGGAGAAACACTTCATTGCTCCTTTAGGAAGAATCTGGAATCAAGGTTGCATTTCACTGATAGAGAAGACCAAGCAACAGGGAGATGCGTTAACTATGACACAGGTGCGCAAGTACATCACACACACAGCTTTCTCCTACTGTGTGTAAGGGGGGCAATAGGGACACATACTGCACCAGACCGCAAAAGGCCAGGAGGGACACTGTAGAAGAAAGGGTGCTATTAGCTGCATTCCTTTACCAAATGCAAAAARAAAACAACCACCAACAAAGAAACCTCATCATCCGAATTAAACCCACAGCTCATTGTCACCCACTCTGCTCTGCTGACAAAATGAAACCTCAAAAGCATCAGGAATTAAAATTCATCACAGCACACACAAGAAGGGAACACCAAGAAAGCAGACTCTTAGCTGTGTTCTGCAGTAGAAAAAAGAACCATTTCATGCATCACACAGAACCAGGAAACCCTTTTCTTCTCTGTTCAATGTCTCAGAAGCCTTGGCCCGGGGAGCAGGAGCTGTACTGTGCATACCTGCTTTCTGCCCTTTCCCTCTGACTCGGGCTGAATGGGATGTATCTTTGTGTGTGTGTGTGTGTGTGTGTGCGCGCGCGCACACCCAGAAATATTGTAAAACTTGAAACCTCCATCTAGCTTCGGTGTTTATAAACACTACAAACATGCACATACACTCCTGTAGCCTAGCCAGAGGATGTAGGTCTTCAACACATCCGGCTTCATTTTAGAGCACCTAAAGGCCAGCTTGGAACTTGTATAGTGGTGATCAGTGTCATCTTTACACAATGGGAAAAAATCATATGGTCAGGCTCTTAACTCTACTGTCAAGGGTTGAATTGCAGCACTTTCATCTGGATTTTCAACCCAGAGGGAGCCTGGGTGAGGTTTCTTCCGTCCAGGTCCATCATTTTCTAGAACTGCAGAGGAAGCCTGCAAGAGACAGAAGGAAGGCGCTCTGGCTCACTTCYTCAGAGTGTACTCTGCACAGTGAGACAAAGGCAGCCATGCTGTCAGAGGCGACTCCTTCCTTCTCTGCACCACTCTCCACCTTCCTCTAAGCAGCTACTTCCTCCTATTTCTTTCCTCTCTCTCAGTCGTTTGGGATTTCTACATTAGTGTGCACTTGTGTGCATGCGCATGTGTATGTATTTTAGAGTGAGTGGGCAACAAAAGCTAGRAAGGAGTTGGCGTTCTTTGTCTGCTCAGAGTTTCCCTAATCCTTTTCTATTTTTAATGTGAAAGTCAATTTGCAAAGGCCTCCTCAGGCACAGAGCATTCTACAAATAATCACCCTGTTCTTTTGAAGATGCTTGGTTTGCTCCCTAGGCCAAGCAGATAGCATGCTTAGGAAACCATTCTAGGCAAGAAGCCTCCATGCATTGACAACTATTGCTTTTAATAAAAGGGAAAAACACAAGCAGTATGGCAACCCAGAAGTTGGCTCTCCAACAAGCAGCAATCAGAGGTGCAGCTGAGCTCAGCTCAGCTCTGTACTCACTAGACAGTACTGAGGAYGTAAGGGCAGGAAGAGGCCAGGTTGCTATGAAATGTGAAGGACAGAGAGGGTAACAGAACGGTGAAGGGAGAAGGGAGGTAAAATCTTAAGTCTATATGTATATACATGTATGTGTACATGTATTTTTAAAAATTTAATTTAACTTCTTTTTTGGGGTACCAGGGGTTGAATCCAGGGTCACACAATCACTAAGCCACATCATCCCCAGCCCTTTTTATATATTTATTTTGAGACAGGGTTTCACCAAGTTGCTTAGGGCCTCACTATATTGCTAACACTGGCTTTGAACCCATGATCCTCCTGCTTCAGCCTCCCAAGGGCTGGGATTACAGTGTGCACCACTGTAAATGGCTACATGTATTTTATATATGGGTATCATAAAGAAAAGACAGAAATGATGAAGGGATAGTCTTTCACTCCCTTCTTCCCTAATTTATCAATACTAATGTAAATATTTTTAAAAGATTATCCAAAATTTTTCTGACAAAAGACTCACAGCAAGGAAAAAATACACCCCCTTTTATTTATTCTTAATATTATTATTATTATTATTATTATTATTATTATTTTGGTGCCAGGATTAAACCACTGAGCCACATCCCCAGCCCTTTTTATTTTGAGATAGAGTTTTACTAGGTTGCTTATAGCCTTGCTAAATTGCTGAGGCTGGCTTTGAACTTGCAATCCTCCTACCTCTCATCCTCCCAAACTGCTGGGATTACAGGAGTGCACCACTGTGCCTGGCCCCCATTTATTCTTACTATCAATTTCAGCTGCTACAAGTTGGATACTCAGTTTTGTATGTTTTACATTTTTCTTTAATTTACACAAACATCTGAAAGGTAAGTGGAATCMGCCCTTCATTTTAGAGATGACAATCCTGAGATTTGGGGAGTTTGAGTGACTTATTAGAAGTTGTGGAGCTGTAGGCAGAAAGAGCAGATTGGGATTTGTGTTTCCAAGGCCTGCACTCCTTCTGCTATAGCACACTGCCTGGGATGGCACCATGCATGATTCTGAGTCAAAAAGAGAACCGAGGGCATCTGAGCTTGGAGCTTGAGCCACCTTTTGAGGCTGAGCCCAAACGTCAGTGGCTTCTGCTGTACCAGGGAGAAAAAAATCCAGCTGGGCAGGGCCACCCTGCCTGTGTACCTGCTGCTGTGTGCTGCTCTGAGTCCACGCTGGCATCCCATCCTGTACTTGCTCAGCTGGTGTCTCACTTTCCTCTGCCTCCTCCCCCTTACCCCCSCCCCTCCAACTAGGATAAAACTCCAAAGTAGGAGACCCAGAGCTCTCTCTACTCGTGGGGATCCAAAGGAACAAAAGATCAGAGAAGCAAAATRGCATGCCTGGACATGAGTCAGACTCAGCCAGTGGCACAGCCTGAGGCTGACCAGTTGCTATTCTTGCTGGGCCAGTGGTACTGATCAGGTGGGCAAAGCAGAAATTGATGAATGCTTTGATGTTTGCTGCTTACTTTAGGGGGATGGATGGAGGCTGACCACAAAAAATTACATTTTAGAGAGGGAGAAAATCAAGACTCACTTGCAAAGGGTTAAATAATTTGCCTAATCACCTACTGCCAGTCACACCTGCATGMAAACACTGTTTATTTTCCAACAAATATTTATGAGAAATATATGCATTTATGGATAAAGCAAAAGCTGTAGGCTTCACTATCTAATTTCAATGTTTGAGTCCAACTATGCCAATTAAAATAAAAGGTAAAACACAGCACCTCAAAGAATTTTGTACGACCCTGCAGAGCAGATATTTTTCTTTGTAAATTCTTTTGGCTACTCCAAATACCAGCTTTGGTCTGGCCCACTGGGAATTCTGGAGGAGAGGTCTGGCTGTGGCAGCCTTAGGGAGTCTGTCTGCAGAGTTTCCTGTCCAGAGCAATGTTCTCCCCTTTGGGAGGTAAGAGAGACCCTGTGTCTGTTTCTCTTTCTATTTGCTTCCCTATAACCTGATGAGGCCTTTTGCCAACAGAGTTGAATTATCACCTGGTCAAAAACATAACAGTAAGCAGAGGGTGGAGGCTGGTAGAAAGCAACATGCAGAGAGATGGATGAAGAAAACAATACTCACTAGCTGGTGAAGACAATGGAACAAGGGTAGAAGAGCTAGCTGGAGCCGCTAAAGAAAGAAAAATAATGGTGAATAAAAAAACAAACAAAAAAGGGGAAAACAGATAATGGAGTACATGGACAATGAGTGAAAACCGGAAGAGGCAATCCTGGGGTGTCAGTATGAGGAACTGAAGCAAATTAAAGTTGGGAAGGAAAACACCATGCTTGGAACAGGTGGCCAGCAGACCARCAGAGCAGGGTGCTCCCTAACTTCAAACCATGAACCTGAGCCCCTGCCAAACCTGCTGTTCAGGTAAGGGAGCCAGGAGCAGCCGCAGACCTCAAATAAAAATGAGGCTGAAAATGAATAGCCAATTCAGCAGGACCAGCTGCCTCCACGGGATCAGAGGGTCAGCAGGAAAGTGAACCTGGACCTCAGCTTAAGGTAAACATTTAGAGGAGACAAAGACTCCAGTTTTTTAAGTCACATTCTACATTGGTGTTTATACATGGGAACATATTTCTATATATGKCACATACTTAGAGCAAAACCTACATGCCTCACTCTCTAATTTTAATAACTAAATGAATGGAGATGCTTGTTCTACTTAAGGACGGGTTGAAGTTCATATAGATGATACTAAAACACCATTCTCCTCCAGAAAACTCCCTATAGAATGTGACTATTTTGATATYGCTATAGAAAGTGATGACAATAATGTTCAGTGTTTTTCTTGTAATCCAGAGAAAGGGAAGGTTGAGACTGGGATAAACGAGTAATACTAACCAACTTTTTGCATGAAGGATGGTTAGCAGTTGTGCATCCAAGACATGGGGACACTGAATGGGTCTTTAGTTTTTCACTGGCAAATAGTCAGAATTTGTCTCAAGACAAAGTTCCCTTTGAGAGCTAGATGGAATTTTGGAAAAGCATCAACACATCAGCAACATTGCCGGAATGCCCATAGTTTACCTTTCAGATGGACACCAGATTAAACCAAGACACTGGGATCAGAGCAAGGCAGGCTGCTAACCTGTCATGACTGAATGATCTGGTTCATTGGTTCCTTCAGGCAAAAATATATCTCTAATTCTCTCTCTCTCTCTCTCTCTCTCTCTCTCTCTCTCTCTCTCTATATATATATATATATATATATATATATCTATCTCATTTGCATAATTGTTAGTATTATTCTGGTAAAGGAATGGCATTTTACCTGCTTCAATCACATATAATACAATGCATTTCATGTACATTTGCATGTGCCAACTAGGGGACAACACATGAAAGCAAAAATCTTGAGATGCCTCTTTTAAAAAGTAGAGACTTCTATGCAGTCTCTATACCCTGAAAGAAATAGTCTATCTTGCTTCATGGTCCACAGGCCAATTAAGAGGTAACATTCAGGCAATGAAATTCTCCAAGTGTGTTGTTCAGTCATGGAGAAAATGATTCATAATAATTTCTAGGTAGTTCTGACAGGAAAGCAGCTTCTCCCAAGGCAAACAGTGGTTATAAGCTTTCCACCTGGAGTCTCTTGACACCATACAGACATTTGGCTTAAAAATATGTGAAATGGGAACATTTTCCCAGGTTAGAGTTTTATGTGTAGCTTCCTCACTACCTTCATACACATTTCTGAACTGCATACAAAGGAACCTCCAAACTGGTAAGCCATGTTTTCTATCTAGCAGCTTGGAAGCAGGAGGCCTTCATGTATTTATGACTTTTGCTAGCTTGATCTGCTCTTCCCTGGCTTTGATATATCCATGGCCCTGAATGTGGACAAGTCTATTAAGGAGCCAAGAAGGCAACCCCATTATTGAGATATCTCAATGAACTTCAAGTGATGAGTTAATGCTGAACATTGACCTCAACTATACCTCCCAACCCAGGGGTCTGGCAGCCAACATATCTGTCCAGYATGCCAGCCCCTATTGGCTTTGTGCTTTCTCTTCTTTGGGGCTGAGAGTTCACTCAAGGCCCAACTTCAAAGTCATGGGGTTCCCCTGTACCCTTACAGTCTTACAGGATAGGGGTGCACTGTTAGTGATTGAGATGAGCCAGCATCAGAAACCAAAGCCATTAGTTCTTAGGTTCCATGCAAGCACACAGCTAAAAGGTTGGTGATTCTGTTMGACTACTTTCAGGCAACCTTTGTGCCTTCCTTGGAGTGGGAATCAGATTTCAGAGAAGGTCCTTCCTAGTTCCTAAAAGGGGAGTTTATCACAGCGGTGGTATCATACTTTCAGGATGGTATCCTTTCTCAGGACAGGCCTGGGAGCAGCAGGATACCCCTGGGGCTAACCTTTCACAACAGTAGCTCTGGGAATCTTAGCAGGGAAAGGGGGGTGTAAGGAAAGACTATAGAAAAGTCTCTGCAGTGAGAGTGTGATGTTCCCACATGTTCATCACCTCACCCTGCTAAATGCCTTGAAGAAAGGCACCCTCAACTTGTAAGGCTATGCCTGCTTCTAATTATCCAAAAGAAGTTTGCTTTTTAATTCTCTAAACCATAACTTCATCTAATTGAGAACAACAACTTCTGTGCCAGTGCTGGGGTATGGTCCACCATTTACTTAGAACGGAGAGATGATGCCACCATCCTCCAAAGGGATTCTTGGAGTCTTGATTAATTATCCATTTTCATACTACCAGACAACAAACGATGAGGCTGAGAGAGCTCCTTTAAAAAAAAAATTAAGAAAGAAAACTAAAAATTTTAGTTCAACCTTTACCTTTTCGTACTGACTTTAGAAATAGCCTCCGCTATTTAAAAATTCGTGTTTAGAAGGTCTGAGGTGATAATTAATGAAAACCACTGTGGCTTTTGAAGTCCAAAACACAATTACTCTTAATTCAGTACTGAGACTTCAGTTATTGGTGAGAAATTCATCAGCAGGCCTCATCCCAGCCTTCCCCTCTTCAATGTAACAAAGCTGGCACTCATTAACTGATCACACACAGAGGAGAAGCAATGCAAAGGTGCATTTGAAAGACCAATGGAGGGCCAATTTAGGGATCCAGGAGAAAGGAGCTCTCCCACCCAGAGCTGCCCCTTCTGAACTTGTTTCGGGCATAGCTGCCAGCCCAGGGCATACAGCTGCGAGACCTACCTGACAACTTCATTTCCCACTCTGATGCTTCCCTCCCCACCCCYAGCTGGTGCATTCAGACATCAACTTGGCTGAGATAGGAGATTTAGCACTTGCTCAAAATCTAACACCCACACTGAGCTACTTAGTTTTTGCTGTTGCTGCAATATTTCTGAATACATTTAAAAAGATATGTTTCCCTGAGTGCCTTTCAGGAGCCAACAGCTTTTTATGAAAAGAGTATGCCACTTCCTGAATACCTTTCTTTCTGGGTCTTTCTGGTACAACTTCTCACCATTGCTCTGAGAGATCAGTCTAGGAAAAAAAGATCCAAGCCTTAATGAAGTGACGTGTGAGGGTGTCTATGCAGGCCAAGCGGGTCAGAGCATAGTTCCACTCCCCACTGCAGCAGACTAGCTCTCTGTTACTCTGCTCCCTGTGTGCTATGTTCATGGCTTCCATGATTAGGGTGTGAAAATTCTTTCCAGGTCTTTCTCCCTTGAAGGGATTTTCGAGTAGTGGTCTGATGAGACTGTGGTCACTTTTCTGGAATCCTGGCTACAGGCGAGGTGGTGCTACTGTGTGTTGTTCAGGGACCATCTGCAGACTTTCTCCATGCTTGGCTCAGCAAACATTATCGTTGCCACAGGGTGATCATCACACACAAAAATTAATAAATATATACAATTTCAAAAGACACAGAAGTTGCATGCTCTAAAACAGGTAGAGTGTTAGCCTCTTGGAGTCACCTACAGACGTTAACAAAGGTACAACTAGACTAAGGTCAGTGTGGTTAGGGCCCAGACAGTATCATCTACTTCAGCCTCTAAGGGGACAAAAAAGGGACCAGAACTAAATTAAGAACTAAGACTAGCAGATGTTAACACTATGGAAACAGGTAATGAGGTATGAAGAGGCACTTACGTGGAGGAGGGCTATCTGCATTTCCCATGGATGGAACACAGACGAAAAGAAAAGCCAAGAGACAGACCCAAGGAAAAAAAAATAAGATGTAAAAGAAATGAACAGAATCCGCAGAGCACATGGAGCTGGAAACTCAAATTATCAAATTATTTCAAAATGCAGAAAGAAGCAATCCCTGCAGAAGGAATGAGACAGCCTTTTCTACTTCTGGGAAGAGGCGAGGGGGTCCCTTTGCAGGCCCATGGCTTCCAAGGCAGAAGCAAAGGGTTCTGCCACGTGCATTTTGAATCCAGGGGCCAGGGAGAGCCCAGAGAGCTCTGTGGCCACTCAGGAATTGGGTTCTACAGCTTCTTCTTCAACTGGACAGACTCAGGAGCCCTGCAGGGCAGCAGCTCTGGTCTGTAGCAGAGTGTGCCAGAGCAGGGCTTGACCAGAGTCTGGCTGCTATGGGAAGTGAGGGCAAAGCCGGCAGGCATGATTTAAGGAAAGAGGGAATGATGGCAGGATACAGAGATGCCCTGCACAGAACCAGGAGAAGCAGCTCTCTGGAAAGGGCCTGTGAGGAGGGAGACCACGAGGAATGCTCTGGATAGGGGAGGAAGGGGGAGGGCGAAGAGCAGAAGAGTCAGGGTCATGGCCATCCTCTCCCCTTCTGCATAGCTGGGATTTGGCTCCTGCTCACATGTCCTACATGTGATCTAGTATCTCTACTGCATCAAAAAATCCCACCAAGGATTACATGAACGGTCACTCTATCTCCTTCTTTAAAGTCACAGGGTGCTTAGGGGCTCTTTGGCCCTGTGTCAAAAAGCAGATCTCCCAAATTCCTCCACACACACTGCTGGTATTCTCCCCACTCTCGCCAATTACCATGTCCGTGGTACCCCCCTCCCACTCTCACCATGCCTGGCTATTATTCTGTCATGCTGGACCAACTACTAGGGAAGTGTCCCCGGCCCCTTTGAGAAAGAGGATGAAAGGAGTGTGTCAGCCACCACTGAGAGCTAGAGAACTAAGAGTTGGGGCCTCCATGAGCATCTGAAAGATAAAGGCTATCTTGTAAACCAGGCCAGCTCAGGGTCCCCAAGAAGAAGGTGGGCACGGGGAAGAGGCAGGGCAGCCGGCTTTACTTACGGACTGGCTGTGTCTTGAACCCGGAGGCTGCGCTGATCTCTCCCAGCCCCTTGCCATTGAGGGCCGCCAGCCGCACCTCATATGTCGTCTCAGGCTTCAGGCCCACGATGGTGACGATGCCCTCCATGTTGGCTGTGGTGAGAAGAAGGGATGGATCACAAAAGAGTCGAAGCCTCCTGGTGACATGAAGCTATGGAGAACAGTCTGGCAGGTCATCACAAAGGTGAACAGAACTGTCACTTGATTCAGCAGTTCAGCTTCTGGGCGGACGCATTTATGAAATCAGGGACTCAAACAGATACCTGCACACCCATGTTCACAGCAGCAGTCCTCACAACAGCCAAAGCATAGAAAACAAACCCCAATGACCGGTCACAGATGGATGATTGGATAAATGAAATGTGGTAAAGATGGATAATAGGATGTTGTTCAGCTTTAAAAAAAGGGATGAAAATCTGAAACGTGGCATAACGTGGGTGAATCTCATATCATGTTAAATGAGATACGGAGACATGAGAAGGGACACGTATTGAAGGATTCCACTTCTACAAGGTAATGAGGATAATCAGCTACCCAGAGAGGGAAAGTAGAAGGGTGGCCATCAGGGACTGGAGGGAGGAGGGTAAAGGGGAGGTAGTGTTCACTGGGTAAAGAGTTTCAGTTTGGAATGACAGAAAGGTCTGAAGCTGGACAGTGGAGAAGACTTCAGGCTACTGAATTATATACACTTAAAAATGGTCAAATGTAAATTTACGTTATGTATATTCTACCATAGTAAGTCAAAAACCTAGAACCGATGTCTAAAAGAAAGACCTTTTTAAAAAGCCTGGCATCCATGGTAACATGGGACCAAACTGCCACAGAGGCAGTGTAAGATTTCAGAGTGAAGTTAGGAAGCTAAAAGGACTGTTTTCTTCTCCAATCCCGGTTACACAGTCATTCCTCTCAGTTCCCCCACCCCCATCCCCCACTATTCCCACAGGCTGACAGTGTGATGGAGCTTCATGGCGGAACTAATCTCAGTAGAAGTGCAATGGGCCTCATCTCTGAAAGGCTGTGACACTTGATATGCCAGTCCATTCCCATTTCCACACCAGTTTCCACACACCAGACTAGGACTACACATTCCTACAGAAACACAAGAGATTTCACTGAGCTCTCTCAATTCAATCCCAAAAGGGGGATTGAGATGTAAATATACTCCATCTTCAAATGGAAGGGCTCAGACCTTTAAATTGCAGTAGCCCGGGGGGTCCTTTTCTTCATCTTTAGCTTGGAAAGATACCATAGAATTGATTTTGGAGCACATTTGTCTCCCTGGCTCTGCTTATTTGGTTATTATCATAATTACATGACACTCCCTAGGTACAGACACCCACACAGGACTGGCCAGTGTCAGGTAGAGACCCTGAAGTCGCATAAGCAGAGCAGGAGTGCAGTGCACTCGTGTGGTTGTGCTCAGCACCCACGCAGGGTTTCTGCTTGGAATGCCACCAAGATGACCTCATTCGTCCTGGCAGGGTCACGAGAACTAAGCTCTGAAGGCCAGCAATTCTCTATTGAGATATGACCATGACCTCATTCTGGGCGGGACAGTTCCTAATTCCGCAGGATCCCAGATGGGACAGCAGGTGGTGACATCTGGCATGCTTCAGTAGGTAAGAGTGGCATGCAAGTGTGTGCCCCTGGATGGAGTAGCAGGGGCCATACAACTCTACAGGAGAAGCCACGGCTCTGACTCACCTTCTTTGGCATCATACCACTTGACATGCCATGCTTCTTCTCCCAGCGCTCTCCATTCAGCCTTGTATTTGAGGATGGGCACTCCACCTGTGGCCTCTGGCTCATCAAACTGCACCTGTGCTGTGCTGGAGTATGGCTCCACCTGGTCGATGGATGGTGAAGATGGGGTATCTGTGGAGAGGACACATATGGAGACCCAGGTGAGCCCAGTTTGGCCCAGGACCACAACTTCCAATTCCAAAGCATGTCTCTCTTATTTCTGCTCACTCTTAGGAATTCTGTCACCTGTTTTCTGTCCCCTTCATCTATGATTCTCTCTCTGTACATCTCATATTTAGATCCTTACATCTCCAATTGCTTTGTGATCATCTGGCTTTGTTGGCCCTGGCTTTCTTTACCCCACTAGACTGGTATTCTTGAAGTATCCTGGTTACCCTGATAAGGGTATGGGCAGTGTGGAAGCCACCACGAGAGGCACTTACCTGCTTGAACAAGGATGAATTCCAAAGACTCTTGTCCGATGCGGTTCACTGCAGTACAGTTGTAGTTTCCAAAATCATTTTCAGAGTCTGGGGTCACCTTTAGAAGGAAGGAGCCTTTGGGGTTACAAGGGCACCATGAAATGGCCACAGATGCAGATCTTTACTTACTGAATTAAATTAGACAAGAATAGAACTAGTAAAGCACAAGTCATTAGTACCAGCCCAGCCTTGAATAAGATAGGAGAAGAGCCCATGGATCATGGGAGAGGCTTTTTTCCAGGCCCCAGTCCCAGTCTAGCTACATGGAGCACACAGGTGCAGTTGAGAAAGGTGACCAGGGGTGAGGCTATTTCTTCCCCAGCCAATGGCTTTCCAGTTCAGGATGTGCCAGAGAAGTGAAGATAGAAAACGTGAGTTGCATCCAAAAGCCTACCCATCATCAAACAGCCTAGTCTATCCAACCCTTTGCCCCTTCCTACTTACCTCCAGATAGCTGGCAGAGGGAGTGTTGTAGATCTTGATATTGCTAAAGTTGGAGCTTGGCAGTAACTGGCCATCTCGGAACCAGGAGATTGTAGCACTGGGGTAGGCAAAAACCTCACAGGTGATATTCACCTGGTTCCCCTCCCAAGTGTACACAGCCACAGGGCCCTGTAGCTTGGGGGAATCTGCAATAAATGACAATGACTATCAGGGTGACCACCACTATCTTGGAGCCCCCCATTCTGTCTCCTGGCACTGGGAAGATAGACATGCTCTGAAGCAGACCTAGCACATGGTATAGGATAGGTCAGGATCACGTCAGTATTCCTGTGCACATGCACTGCATAGGAAGCCTCAGAGCACACAGAAGGCTTGTAAGAAGTCTAGGGATGGTGTGTGGCAGGTGGCTTTAGGACAGAATTCTGAAAGGGGCCAGGGAACATAGCAGAGCTCACGGGGTAAGCTTAGGTCCTGGGTACTATTTCCCTCTCTCATCCTGACCCCAAAGGGCTCTTCCCTCCCCCAAGTCTTTCCCCAGTTATTCCTCACATTGCACTTCAAGGTACATGGACTGGGAGTCCTGGCCGATGGTGTTGCTGGCAGTGCAGATGTACTCTCCAGCATCTGTGTACTGGATGCTCTTCAGGGTCAGGGATGACACGCGGGCGTGGCTGCGTACCACCATGTGCCCGTCCAGAGTCTGCCAGGAGGGAAAGGGAGCATCAGAGTCCGAGACAAGGCAGAGGGCCATGCAGCTATAGCTATAGCTATGGGAGACTAGTTCATCACCTATCTATGATGAATCTCACATCCTCTCTCCTCTCTGGGCCAACATTTAAGTCTGACTTTAGGTATTACCTAATGGGGGAGGTTCCGTGAGCACCATGGGAACTTTGGTGTATCCAAAACAGGAAATGGGACTTGATTATGTTAAATGACCTGAACTGTGTGCCAAAATTGGTTTGGGGCAAGGAGAGACTAGGTCTGTCCTTTGGGATGAGCAAAATAGAGGCAAGGACCCTGGCCAGCAGAGGTCTCAGCAGCAATGGCCTTGCCTTGGGAGATCCTGGAAATATGCATCCCTGACCTTTCCTTCCAGGTTTCCGACCTCCAGCCCTATGTGCATGCTCATGAGATAGGAACTTCAAATGTGCTCACTGAAAGAAAGTATGCAAGAAAACCATTCTCTGCAGATGTCTCTATTTCCTGGATACTTAAAAGCTGAAATTATCCATTAAAAAAAGTCAAACAATTCAAAGCTCAGGATCTGCAGAGATAGAATTGAGGGTAACAGGATCCCCTCTCTAAAAAGAGTGATAAAGAGAGCCACAGGCAGATCTGTGATCCTTGACACCATAGTCTCCATTTTCTAGTTCTTAATTCTGCTATTGGCTTCCTGAGTCACTGGAATGACAGTCATCAGTCAAGAGAATAGCATATGATCCTAATGCAATGAATACTGGGATATCTCCAAGGGTTTTTAACTCTTGACATTCTAAGTAAAATGGTTGCTGTCTCTGAATGGGTGTAGGCATATGGCCCAAGTCCAGATCCTCCAGAAAGCTGGTAATCTGATGAAGGGGTCAGACTCCTTGAAGGCTGGGTCACCCTCATTTCAGTGTATGATATTCTGTAGAAAAGGACAGGACAGTACTCTGCATCTGGTATCTGATTGGCTTGTCTTTAGAGAATGAAAGAACACCTGGCTTCAGATTCTTTTAATATGCTGGTTTGCAAACCTGAAGTCCAGAGTTGTAGTGTCTTATGGCAGCCTGGGAAGCCCAAAAGCCAGGCACCACTGGCCTTGCTCAGTAGATCTAGCACAAGAAGTTCCTTACACTAGCATTAACAGACCTAGTCCTTTTCAGTCATCTAAGCCCCATCACATGTCATATCTGGAAGCTACAGCATGTTGCTGGTAAGAGGAAGAAGGGCCAAGCAAAATCATCACTGCCTCCTGCTATGAGAATGTCCCCTTCCTGAGACCAATGCCCTGGTGTTCCCATTGGGCCAGCAAATGTAGGAAGATGCTTGATTGAGAAGCTGCATCCCAAGAGATGGCACACACTAATAAGAGATGCCAGCAGACAGGTGTGGAGCACTTCCTAGATAATCAATTTGTTGGAGATACTGGATCCTGGGACTCCTTTTCTTGTGGGCTGCCAGTGCTTACTGATCTAACCCAGTGGCAATTTTTAAATGCCAAACAAAAATCTTTACCTGTCAGTCTGCATTAGGGCCATGGAGGGCATGAAGCCATTCCTGCAGGGACCTCTAAAGGCTGACCTGATCTGCCTCTCACTCATATTTCCCCCTATACCCAGCAGATATAGGGGACCTGAGGTCCATCCCTGGCTTTTCTGGTCATCTCAGTGATCTCAACCATGAGATGAACTATGATTCTTTGGACCCATACTGGACTTGTCATTATGCCCTATGCCATAATCCCCAGGAAGCCAAGAGAACAATTCCATGTGAAAGATAGGGAAAGAAAGTCATATAGGTAAGAATGGGACAGTGAGAGCAACAAAGCAGGGGGATGAGCAGTCATTACTTAGAATAATCTAGAAAACATTTAAAAAGAAGCTTAGAAAATGGTTATAGGGACAGCTGTACTTTTTTTTTCCCTTTCAATATGGTCTCTTTTCCCAGGTTTCTCTATATGGAAATTTCTCTTGTTTAATGATGTCAACAGACCAGAAGGCAATCCTCTATAGAGAATTCTTATTTTGTAGGGGCTCACTGCAGGTGTGATGGTGGGATTATTTGCCAGATGCCCAGTTGTCCCTTTGAGGATATGCAGATAAGACTCCAGTGTGATTGGCCTCTCTCTCTCTCTCTAAATTGTTTTATTCTGGCATCAGGATAAAGCCCCAGAGTGCCACCTATAAGCCATCCAGACCAAAAGCCAGGCTGACTGTCTTGGCTGCCCCAGAGGGAGCAGATGAACTCTGGACAAGAGTTAAAACATCATTATGGAAAAAGATGCCCTTAAAAAAATCCATGAAGGGTGATTATAATTTTTTTCCCATCAAAGCATTTTTGTCTCTTCTTCTTATAGGTAAAAGTGCTAAGGCTTTTCAGAGCTTATTAGAATGAAAGTGGCCATAACCCAAACCTTCTTTTGCTSTCATCTGGGCTTATGGTTTTCATCTCTGAATGAGATAAATAGGAGAGAATGAAACTTCTGAGCCCCACGGGTGGCATTCACTTAGAAGTCAATTATGTCCAAAGTGCGACATTTCTGATAAAGACACTTTTGGAAAACAGAATCCAGTGTCTGCTTTCTTGGGAGTAAATCTATTATTTTCACTTACAATAACAATTCTCTTCCCAATACTACAAGAAGGGGGAAAAAAATCTCTTAACAGCTCCTTAGGGCTCTCTGATAAATCTTAGCTCCTCCTCTTACCAGGTCTAGGTCAGAAGGACAGGAGGAAGACGTACAAGGCAAAGCAGAATGAGATCTGCAGCTACTTAAGACTTAACCCTTCTTCTCTTCCTTCCCCAATCCCAATGGGTCGACGACTTCTGGGCAATAAAACACCCAGCCTGTGACGGCACTAAGTGATTCTGGTGCCTCAGGAGTGAAGCATTTCAGTGTGGACATGTACTGAACCACAGTCCCTATGCCATCGGGGAAGGTAGGACACAAAGAGAGCTAATAATGAACTGGATTTGACAATGGCAGCATGTTCATGTGCAGAAACTAATATCAGTGCCTGGGGATAGGCAGTCAACTTTTAAATATTTAGCAGCATTAAATATTGATAACCATGACCTGAACACATGAGCCATGTGCTCTGAATAATTATCATTCCTGAAAGACTAAGAGGATAGGTTTACCAAATTAAAATACAGAATCTATAGGCTCTTCTGTGTTTATATTCTTATAGAATCGAAGACTCGTTTGGAGAAAGAAGGCAAAACTATTTTAATAAAATGTATTTATAAATTCGATCCTTGAATGTCATCTAAAATAGATAGGTTTTTATTTTACTATTTTGGTCACTTAATCACAAATCAGGTTTAAAAAAATGACAGAAGTGATCATAGGTAGGGCCTGGGAGTGTAGCAATTAAAATCTAAAGGTTAATGTTTAGCTTCAGTTTTCAAACTAAGTCCTACATTACCTAAACCAAAGAAAGTAAGCAAAGAAATTTCAAAGGCTAAATGCTACTGACTTTACAAAACATAAACCCATTTGTACCAAATCATTTCAATCTCATAAATTTAATGCTCTATAAAAGTAACAGACATGTTTAGCAATTTGGGAGAACCAATGAGAGATGTCATTCGTGTAGCTTTTGAGATGAAATGTGATGTGATAATCTACCAAGACCGATCATTATAAAATAAGTGAGCAACAAGATGAGTTGAGCTGGAAAGGAAAGGGCTGAKCAGGTTTTAGATCACTAACTCTGTGACTTTATGGTCCAAAGCCACATCTACCATGTGAGAATAAAAACAAAAAATTCATTGTTTCAAAATGCCTGGCCTGGGCATTGGGGCAATTTATTTCTATCAATGTAATTACCTGGATATGATTTTACCAGCACCAGCAAGAGAATAAGATYCAGTTTTAGAAAATAATAAGGATTTGTTCATCCACTCCCAACACAGCTTGCTTGCTCATCCTAAAAATGACACTATTGCTAAGTAATGTCTACCACTATTGACCTATTCTTTAATCCAACTAAAGTACTAATTAGTTCAGCGTGCCTGGTTATTAAACTGTAATGGTAAGTTAAACTGCAATGCTTTCAAAACTAAAGACTGGCTAGTGGTCAGGTAAGCTATACCTCTTGCTTCTCTGGTCGAGTCCACGAAGCCTGGAGAGAACAAGATATAAAACACAACAAGAAAGCAGTAAAATTTTACAACATGTTGCTTTAGAGAATTGATGTACCACACTGCATTCCGTGCACATGCAGCTTCCTCTTAATTCAGAACTTTTTCCAAGGCCCACTTTCAATGGTGTGTTTATTACCCAATTTAATTTAGGATTTAGCTTATGTTYAGCTTTTTCCCCCTTAGTACGTTAAAATTATACATTTGTATAATTCAATCGTAAAGGCATTCCTAATCTTTGGTAGACATATATACATATACCAGCAGACATATTAGACTGCTTATGTTGCAAAACATCTTAAATATTCTTCATAGTACTGGATGACACTACTGGTTCTAACCACATCATCTAGAAATACTTAAGAGAGTAAGGTTTCCTCCTCTGAGTTTTATTAGACAGCATATCACAGATACACTAATGCCATTTTATGCTCATGCACTTTATAATTCTTTGCATGCATTCTATTAAAAGTGAATTTTTTTTAAAAGGGAACAAATAAAGGAGAGGAGAGGCACATTAGGAATGAGAGTTATGAAGTCTTTTGAGACTGTGGGTAAGGAAGCTTAAGGATGCTGGGAAGCTGTGGTAGGGCTCCAGTCCTTAAAGGCAGAGAATGCCCAGTWGGCACATGGGCTCAAGTATGGACCATCTTCATCCAATATGGCATTCACAAGGAAGTAACCCAACTCRCAGCATAGAGGTTTGGGGCATTTTCCATTCTCATCTAGCTATTTTTATGTATCTAGCACTTGGGCATTTACTCTGCTTTTTCTGTTTTCATATTAGGAGTCAAAGACATCATAGCTGCATTGTTCTTTTTATTARGTGGTGTGGTTGCCTGATTATCCCTGATGTTCAGATGGAAAAAACATACAGAAGATGCTAGAAAYRCAGCAATGCAATCAGGGAATRCAAATGAGTTAGCAAACAGTAAGAGTCTACTACATACAAGGAGCTTTGTGAGAAATGAGGATGGAAATACTGGGTTATGTCACATGATGTTGGAATGAAGGAGGAAGTGAGAACAGAGGAACACGCATAGACCAAAGTAACAGTGGGCCAACACGTCAGATATAGTTGCCAATTCCACATCACTAAAAAGCTTGTTTGAAACATGCCAGGGCTGTATCATATGGAGTTGTTTGTTTTCAAATGTGATTATTCTGTGTRTTTCTCCCAAGTCATTATGGTTCTGTGGCTTTTAGAATAAGTGGTTGCTAGTGACACGATGCTTCTAGTAGCCTAACTCTTACCTGTGTGACAGTGGAATGACATAAATGACTTGGACCTAATAATTTGGTGAAGGTGTGGCCCATATCAAGACACTCTGATATGCAAATATACACACTGAGGAACTAAGTTASGGTACTATTAGTAATACTTCAGAAATTGTTAGTCCTAGGTTGTTTTAATATTATTTACATTTTTTGTCTTATGCCCAAGAAGCTTATAGGAATATGCATACAAATTAAAGTGAAGCATCTTTCTAATTATCCTAAGCATTCCTTATCGTACATTTGCCCACACCGGAGATAAACCAGACTCTGACTGCTTTATGTTGTCACTATTTTCAGTAGTTAAAAGTAGGCTCTGGGCTTGTACCAAATGAGAAATTCTTCCTGGAGAAAAGAAAAGCTTCAGCTTCCAAAGAATCCAGAATTTCAAAAGGTCTCATTTGTGACATACTCTATCAGCATAAGATTCAAAGCTCACAAAAGGCCCTTCATTTTTTTTCTCTCTTTTTTCATCTCAACACTTCACCTCTCTCCATTACTTAATCATGAAGGCTTCATACACCTTTCTTTATAATCATTTCAAGGTGTAGAGGTGTTCACATAAGCAAATGATGGATTTTTTTCCTGCCAGGATAGAGTATGAAAATCATCATCCCTGTATTTCATACAATGTATAAGTGGTGCCTGGAATTTAGTAACACTCATTCAAATATCTAGCAGGCAATGTTGAAGATAAATCTGTGTAGGATGAGTAATGAAATGATGCAGATGCACAAACTTTCTGAAATATCAATCACAAAGAGCTTCACATATATCATCCAATTGACCCATTATGAAGTTCACTTTTTTGTTCAAGATTACAGTGACCACTAAGTAATGGACCAACTGTCAGACAATTGATCTACCTTAATGATCTGAATGATCCAAACAATTAGACACAGTCTAGCTATTATTGTTGAACTCAACCAACTCAACTGGCTAAAACTTAATAATTATCATTCTCAAGTCAGTGATCAAACTCAATTCAGAGATATGATCAAAGATAGGGTGTGACATTAACTGCACTAGGTTTTGCTTGCCCCATTCCTCTTCCTCTTCCTCTTCCTCCTCCTCCTTCTCCTCCTCCTCCTCCTCCTCCTTTTTCTTCTTTTGAATTTTATGTTCAATGTATGGAAATGCATTATGCCAAAGTCCATTCCTTCTTTTTTTAGTGAAGAACACTGATATTCCATTAGCAAGTCACTAAGGGTGTATGGGTGATGCATAAAGAATTCTCTCACTTGCTTCTTCTCATAGGAAAGGAAATATCAGACTGAAGCAGTGATGCAAAAACACAGAATAGCTTTAATTTGCTCATGTACTGTATTATAGGAATCATTGAGGCTTCCACGAAAGTCATCAGAATCATAAGAGAGCCCTGTGACTTCGTGGCACCAGTTACTTCACCTTCTAAGCTACCTACAGGGAGGGTAGCCATGCCATGGAGGTACTCTAAGGGCTCTGAACTTGACCTTGTCCCATTAAACATTTTTATCAGTGACTTGGACAAAGATGTTTCAACTAAGTGTTCACACTAACTGGGAAGCACTAGCTATTACCAACATTAGATGACAGCTGCATTGGGAAGGCTACTGAATTAGCTGCCCTTGGACTTATGCTTAGGGCTGGGGTCACCAATGACAGCTCTTGCCTCATTACTTTTAATATACATATATAAAATAGGGGGGTCCACATGCACTGAGATGCTCTGACTCTCAAATTTCTAAGGACACTTCTGATGAAAGTCAGATCTGTCTGGTTGGAAAGACTGCGAGGAACAGACATTCTCAAGCCAGGGGATATTTGACAATTTAGTAATGATTAGAAGTGGCTCCTGACATTTAAGGGGGGAGAATGCCAGTGATGCTAACCATCTTACATTGCATAGGACAGTCCCAGTGAAGGAAGGGTCTCCTAAATTGCCATAAATGACCCTACTGAGAAAGACTCGGCTACAACATATATATACAAATTTTTAACAGAAATAAATATAAAATTCTGCATTGTTGGTTAAGCAATCAGTTGCATGAGAACAGGATAGGGGATATATGGCTTAAGTGAAGTTCATATAAAAAAAAGACTTGAGCATGTTAGTTGACCACAATCTCAATATGAGGCAACAGAATGAGGACACTGCTCAAGGGCTAATACAACTTTGACTGCATAATGGTGTCCAGATCCAGAAGGCAACAGTCCTACTGAAGTCTGCATAGGTCACACTGGGCATGGGACTAGTGAATTGAAGCCACCTCATACAGGACAACTAGAAGGGTGAAGGATGTGAAAGCCATGACTGGAAAAACAGTGAAAATGGCTGGGTGTGTTAAGGGAAGAAGGGCAGACCAACTAGAGGAAAGTCCAAGTGCTATTTCAGTGACTCAGATGAAGRACTGAGTGGCAGAAGTGGGGAACACTGGGTACAGGAAGAGACAAGGAAGAAGTCCTTCCTGATCATCAGCGTTGACCAATTGCCCTATGGAGGACTGATAGTGTCACCATTTAAGACAGGGTCCAGAGTGACTTTTCTAGCAGGGATGCTAGAAAAAGGAGCTGGTGAGATTTCAGGACGTGAAAAGGTGCCTTCTGAACATCCATGGTTTTGACGTGCCATGTAATCTGACTCAGGCTTTTACTCTACCATTAGATACGACTGACTATTCTGACCTGTCTTGTGTATCATCCTGATTTTAAAAAGAAAATTGCTTTCTCCCACTCCTACAAATCAGGGAGTCTAGTAGTCTCAATACCTAATTATATATAATGCAACTTTAGTTGGAGAACATGAAGAGGACTGCCAAAATAAAAGTAAAGTTTATTTTCGGAAATCTGACCTGCTCATGGATAACCATATTTATTTTTTTAATCAGCAGCTAAGTATGCTGTAAGGTGGATATCATACCTCTTTTATGTCACTATTTAATGGATAGAAATGGCAAATTTTATTATARAGGATTTCAATTAGGACAATTCATATTAATCTGGTGTGTTACATCATAGGCTGATCTGGAGGACTTGTTCTAGACACTGACTGATTTGAGCTCCAGTAATGTCACTTYAAGTAAATTTGCAGATAGTCACCAGCAAAGGAAACCACAACACAGAGCATGTGGCTGGGCATGAGTGATTATCTCAGACTAAGACTGTTGGTCTATACTTAAAACTGAATTGTGCAAGCCTGGTACYTGCTAGGCCTTTGTTGGATTCTTTCAGTCTCAATATTTAGTAAATGTGAGTGTGTATTAGTTTCTATCTTTTATCATTATATAAAAATGAAATCATAGGTTCAAGCCAGACCTGCCAACCTATTAAAGAACCTGAGATAGGCACGAATCTTAATAATCCTTCTGGTCTGATTTGGATGTTGAGCTATTSCTAGAAAAGATAGAGAATTTAAAAGCATACAACTAAGAGAGATATTTCTGTCTTTCACTGTAGGACAAAGACATAGGCTGGCTCACTCTGAACAAGTCCACTGTTAAGCTGGGTGCAGAAAGACCTGCCAAGTATCCATCCTATTGATCAAACCCCGAAATGTATATTTAATCTGCATAACACACAATGGGAGCTGAAATCTTAGCTAAGGGTTCAATTCCATTGTTGATAAAGAAACTATTCAAGTAAACACCACATTTCTTCATCTAGCTGGTTTTTGCATATCAAACAGCATATGTGAGTTTCAAAAATATTTAGCAGTTCTTCAGTTGAGTTTTTGTTATGTTGAATTCAATTCTGGATGAAAAATTGCAAAAAAAAAAAAAGGGGTGGGGGTGGGGGGCTATTTGGAACAGCAATCCCTGATCCTTTTGATTTAGCTTTGTTTTCTATTAGCAAGACAGAATTCAGTTCCTCAAATGCAAATTCCAAATTTAGCTCTGGTATTTCACACTCCTCTTTTTGGGCTGTAGCTGAGTTTATCCTGTTTAGGGATTTCCTTTCAGCAGGCAAAAGAGTGAAGAGATCTATCATTTTTGACATTCTGGTCAATAAGCAATCCATTTTAAATGTTCTTTAAGGCTAAGGCCATTACTCCCGAACAGGTAACAAAGCTTTGGTCAACTAAAATGAAGCCCATTACTACAGGATATACGAGAGCAGGTTGGACAAGTGCCATAAGAGGATTGAAGTTGCTTCAAAACCAGGCTTTTTCCTCCTTCTGGTTTCAGCCCACTCARTAACGAAGGGCTGCATAATGGGGGAAGGTCACCTTAATTTTTATATATTGTCAATAATAAAGAGAGCTTTCCGGTGGCCTATAAATCCATGTGCTTTAAAGCTACATTTTTAGTCATTTAAATTTCCGAAGAAGTTTACTATGATGTTCTTAAACCCTTGGTGAATAAATTGCAGAACCCAGGTACCAACGTCATCATCATTTAGAAACTGCTAATTATTTTTGCCTTTAGAACAAAATGAAATCCAAATGTGACCAAGAATACAGGCAGACACAAAGGCAGCCAAGCTTTTGTGCATATGGTGCATATTCAGCATGAGTGTACAAAACATGAGGGAAAAAATAGGCTCATTTTGGTCCCTGTTACATTCAGGCGACATATCCTTGGGTACTCCTGAGATGATAATATTACCTGGTATACAGGGATCTTGCTTCTCCTTGTTCCTCAAAGATCCACAACCCTGGGTTTGAACATCACTATTGCCTCCTTTCCAGAACACCTAACTTAAYCATGCCCACTACCATAGCACCCCTGCCCATCTATACAAGGAATTGTGCCCTTTCCACTGCAAGGGATGTTGAGCAGGCCATGTCCGGGCAGGCTGCGGGAGGGAGGTTGCAGGACCTGACTGTGGTCTCTGGTGACCATATACCCCCCTTCTGGCTCACCRAAGAGAACTGGGCAGGGCAGACTCAATGTGCATCAAGTCTGTGTTCCATGACCCTGAAACTCTTGGGCAACAGTATACCTTTTCTTCGCTGCTGATGTTTCGGGTGGAAGTTCTCCAAGTGATGGAAGGAATGGGGTCTCCCGAGGCTTCACAGGTAAGAGTGACCTGYTCCTCCAGTTCCATGGCTGTCTGATTCTCTACATAGGTTATTTTGGGTTTTGCTGAAAAGACAAAACATTTCTATGAGTTTATAYGATTATTTAGCTTTCTGGGTTTAAATGATGATGTGTACCCCTTCAACAAAGGGGTTATCTATTTACTAAGTGTAAGAACCCATTCTGGGTATTGYAGAAAACACAGAATAGATTCCTGAAGGGTTCAACAAAAGAGGCCTAAGACAAGACACAGATCATAGTAAGAACACCATATCCTGTGTAGTGAGGTAGGGCAACAGCAGCAGGGACCAGGGAACAGAAGAAGATGGTGRCCCTGGTCTAAGCCTTAAGAGTCAGCTTTGGGGCTGGGTCATGAGATTTTCAGCTAATGCCTATGAGGTGAAGATGGAGTCATTCCAAATGCAAAAAACTGCTTGACTTAAAATGAGAGCAAGGGATGTGAAGAGAGGGCTGGGAGGAGAGGAGTGCAGCCCGCAGCAGCAGAGAGAGGCAAGGCTGTATTGTTGGAATTTCCCATTTTGGCTGGTGGAGGCCCATGGACAGCGTTCAATCAGGGCAGTGCCAAGATCATTTATACTTCAAGGTTAATCCACGGAAAATTCAAGGTGGTTTAGAATGGAGAAAACCTTGATGTAGGGAAACCAATTTGGAAGCTCTGGCAATGACACAGATGTGAGGTAACACTGAGTCCTGAACCTGGTAGATTTAGAGAATGGAGACCAAAGGGCAGCTTTGAGAGATGGGGAAGGAAGTTTCAGAGGAAGTGGAAATGAACAGATATAGGGCAAGCAGGGATGGAGAGAATTAAAGGAAGGAATGACAAGGAGGCTAAATGGCTCAGTTCTTAATGACTAGGMGGTGTTAGCATTAACCCAAGTAAGAATGCTAGGCGAGTAAGTGTGGAGGGCTGAGGATGGGAAGGAGGAGTTGAGATGAGTTCATTTTCCAAATGTTTGGGTAATGCAAGAAACACAAGCATTCCAAAAGCTGAGTTAAACGTTAAAACATTAGAGAAAATTGAATTTTCCCACTTTAAAACAATTATACTCTGAAATTGCTGAACCTTCCGTAGAAGAAAAAAGATATAATACTGCACAATTGTAACTTATTTCACTAATAGAGACAAAGGCCGGGCTAGAGAGATGAATGAAAAGAGCAGCAAAATCAGAATTATAGATAATTTTTGAAATAACTACATTTTCTTTATATTTAAATTCATGCAGGAACTGCAAGTAGAATAATTGACTACTGCCTGTGTTTACCCTCCAAGCTGAGGTCCTTGATGTTTTGATAAACAGAAGACAACGACAGAGCTATATTTTTTTGTTTGTTTGGAGCAAATGCCTGCTTCCATATAAAATCTATATAGCTCAAATATCCTCCTGAAGTTAATCTGTACTGACAGCTTGCTTAGAAAATTCTTTTTGGCTAGCTGGCACATAAGGACATCTTAATCCAATGTGGCCAAATGATCACAAATTTGAGTTGATGGAGCCCAGGTGAATGAAGTCTTCCAGGAGGAAGATTTTGTGTCTATCTTGATAAATACGAATTTGCAGGAGGTTACAACTTGGAAAGAGTAGGTGCTAAGTGCTGCAGAATAGGAGGTTTTAGAGGGTGAGAAAAAACAAAGCAAAATAATGGTAAAATAAAATAAACACAAAAGTAAAGAGGCAAGTAAAATAAAAYTGACTCTCCTATACTGTCAAAAGCACCCTAAAAAGTAAAAGAAAAACAAAATAAAATATGGCCAAACAACTGAATTATCTAAACTGAACAGCTATTTGGGGCCTGGAGATAATCCTAAATTTCTGGCCTCTTGAAACGCAGATTTTGAGATCTAGACAGTGTTTGCTGACCTTCCCCTGACCCAGAGCACTTTGTCCTGGCGGCAAAAGGTTAACAGAAAACAGACAAAGGTCAGTTGACCTCTATTAATATTTGGTCTTGGTGGCTCCATTTACCAGATGGTTACAAAGGGTCCATCGTGCAAGACCTCAGAAAAAGACGAACTATATTCTTATTAAAAACATTGTTAACAAAGGCTAATTTTGTGTAGTCTACCGAGGGCTGTTGGAAGGATGCAACACTGGTTGCTTAATCCCCTCTTAGTTCAGAAGCAGGGCCACTGTCAACACAGAAAGTTTGGAATACTGTTTGGGAATAACAGGGATGCTCTCAATATTTGCACTGGGACAATGGGCAAACAGGAACAGATGTAGGTTCACCCTGCTTAGACTCCCTCCCCTGGGATTCCAGCACTGAGAGAACTTCTCTCCAGGTTTTATCTTCCAATGGTCCTTGCTGCATCTTAATTAACTTCTGTTGTGGGTCCTTGGCTTTTGGATCCTCCTGTGTTGTCCAACTGCCTCCCTAGACTCGGTGTCTCAGGCTGTTCCACTGCATCTCTCCTTGCAGGCCCTCCTAGGAATACTGCCATCCTGTGAGTTTTACAAGCATGTCCATGACTCTGCAGTCTGCTGCTAAGAGTCAGCCTCGTCCACTCCAACCCCAGTCCAGGCTCTGGCAACCCTAGCCCAAGAAGGACCCTGGGGAGACCTGAGGCCACTGCTTTCTTTGAACAGAGACCTGAACAGGCTTCTGGGGAGGTGTGACCAGGTACATCTTCCTTTAGGCCATCGCTGGTCCTCTTCTTTCACCCACAAGTGCTGCTTTAGTCACGGGGGAATCAGCTAAGCAAGGCTGCTGCCCACCAGTGAACTTGGCTCAGTCCATGGCAGCATGAGAACTCAAGAGCATTAGCATGAGCATAATAATCTGCAGAGACAAAAATACTTCTTCATAAGGGCCCATGAGAGAGGAGCAATGGAAACTCACTGCCAGATTTACAGGATGATAAAATTAAAGGAAGGTAAAAGCAGCTTCTAGCTGATAATGAGGCAATGCATGTTGGAAAAGATTCTTTTCTTATGGAAAAAAAGATGTCATTTGGACATGATTGCAGCAGTGTCTAATTTAGTTAGGTCCCTTATTTCTGATTTCCATCCCCTCCTGAAGCTACAAGACTACTGACTTCATCCTTACTATCTAAGCTACAGGTGTTCTTTCTTCTTCCTCCTCATTAGATTCCACTACTGATGAGGAACTGGCCTACTTCTCCCCAGTAGTGGCCCCTGATGGCAACCCAGAAGGAGAAGGAAAGAGAAAAAAAAGAGTAAAGAAAGATGGTTCCCTAATCAGCTGTCCCCTCCCCTCCTGGTTCCCTTGCTCCATATCAATGGGGGAGAAGAAAGGAAGGGAATTTAAGAAGGTGAAAGGGGATGGAAAGAGGTATATATGAGGCACCCTTTACTTTAAGGAGGCTGTATGAACTTCCTTGGGATATTACAGAGGATTCTCATTTTGGATTCAACACAGGTCTATGATCTCCTTACCTGCCTTTTTAGGAGCCAAGCCACCTTTCCTCTGGTTGCTTTGGTCTGCCTAATCTCCAATCTCCCAGTTTTAGTCTTTGGAAACTAACTGTGTGTGTGTGTGTGTGTGTGTGTGTGTGTGTGTTGCAGAGGGGTATAGGCATTGAGGATTGAGGGTACAGAATGGGAAGGAAGACAAATCTTATTTGGCCTCCTTGCCCATTGTGTTTTCCTTGCTCTGATTCTTCATTCTATCATGGCCCCTTACTCACCTCCCATCCTTCCTTTCCTGGGGCAGCTGCTGTCACCAGAAGACCTGGGGGAGGAGCCAAGAGCTGTTCTCGACCAGCCACATTAGAGCTCAGTGTGTAGAGAGTCTGTGAGGAGCATGGTGGTGAAGACAGCACCTCATCCTCATGTTACTCACCATAGCCTAGGCAATTCAGATGGCGTGATTGCCACTGGCATATGGAATTGGGCAGTAGTAACCGCCATTGTTAGTTCAGGGAATGGATTTACAAGCCAACTGCCTTGGTTTGAATCCTGGATCCTTGGAAGGGGCTCCTGATTTCTCTGTGCTCACTTGTAAAATGGGGATAATAATTAAAATCTACCTCATAGGGTTGTGATGAGGATTAAAAGAGCTAATTTATGGATAGTGCTTCATGGTGCTTGGCACAGTATAAACGCTTATTTGGGTTGGGTATTATTATTAATACTTTAGAAGAGTAATGTCCCAAAGCATTTCCTAAAGACAAGTGATGATGACATGATTTCAGGCTCATCTTCTTGTCACATAAGTTATGCTTCATTCCCATGGATTAATGTCTGGTCTTTGACTTATTCAAATGCTAGTGCCTTCTGTATGCTAGCTACTGTCTTAGGTGCTGGGGCCACATCTGTGAGCAAAATAGACACAGCCCCTGTCCACAAGCAGCTGTCACGCARCACCATGATGCTTTTTCTGTCTCTGCGGCTGCACAAGAGTCCTGAAATGCTTGCCCTGCCCTCCTTCACCTGTAATTCCCACCTACAAAACAACACATTGTTTCAATGACTTCTCTCATTTTTATCACATGAGATCAGAGATCATTTTTTTCCTATAAAACATTGGATATATTGGTATTATGAAATCATTATAGGGGTTTGTCATTTAAAATTTCTGCATTGGTCATCTACACTAGCCCGTGAACCTACTGATAAGAAAAGAGTCCCTGTCATTCATCTTTGTAAACTTTGGCTGGGCCTACAGCAGTCACCTGGACCGACACTATCTATTATCATTTAGAAGCTTGTATGTTTTTCTCCTTTGTGCTTCTTAGAGTCAAATTCTACTCATCTCTGTAGCTCCTTTGTCTAGCAGCATTGGTGTTCAAYAAATATTTGTTAAAAGAAAGAAAAACAAATGCATCTGTCTTTTCCTACAATATGGAAAAACTTAATAAGATCAGAGTGACTGGGGAAGATTAGTCTGAATTAGAGAAAAAAATTGCCCAGAATGTTTTTTTATGAAGYTTAACTTTCACTCTCAAGTACATACAGGTACCTTGAACAAACCAATAACTTATTTCTAAACCCAACCATCAGAGATGAATAAATAAATTTCATCTATGATTATGCAGGACCATTTGCATATAAACACTTGATTCTCAACTGCATGTTTACATATTACACAGTTCTCTTGATCAGGTTAAATAAGCAGTCCCAAGGCTGGTTCCCAGATACACATCTCAACTACCTGGGAGGGACACATCCCAGAGCTGCCCCTCAGGCACCTGTACCCCAGCAGCACCATCTACAGTAAACCAGCTTATCGGTATTTTTTAAACAGATAAGCAGACAAAATTGAGACCTATCAAGGTAAATATCTCATTGCAACAAATTCATTTTTCAAGGTCATGTCAAAATGTATTTCAGTTCTGAAGTACATGGAGGTTTGTAAAGTTTATAAAGACAAAGTGAGGGCTCTTTTTCTGACTATAACAGTTTCACACAGACCAGTGAAGGCAGCCAAAAAGGTGAGGCGGGCTKCCAGTCATTCACTGACATTTACCAAAGGTCTGTTATGAGTCTGGTGCTGCTTAGGGCACCAGGGACGAAGTGCTGTGTAAAACAGGGAGCTCTCTGCCATCTTGGAGTAAAAGTGCTAGTGGAGCTGGGATATTAACAAATCCCAAGACAAATACATAAATGAGATTAGTTCAGGTATTGATAAGTTCTTGAAAAAGTCACAATTAAGTGATGAAAAAGATTTTTGGGGTAAATCAAGGTGGCAGCGGGGACCTGAGAGCGGTAGTAGCCAAGGCAGTGAAGGAAGGATTCATGGAGAAGGTGTGTTGGCACTGATATCTGAATAATGAGGAGGAGAAGACAGCTTTGAGCAGCTCCCAGGGAATGATATTCTAAGCAGAAGAAATCAAATGCAATGTCCCAGAAATGGGGAGCAAGCCTGGTGTATTTGAGGGACAGAAAGAAGGTTGGTGTGGTTGGAGAGCTTCCTGTAGGGAGCAAAGAAAAGATGAGGGTGGAGAGAAAAGGCAAATGCTTGGTAGGTGTGGATTTTATTCTGGGTACAGTGTGAATTTTATTCTGAAGGATTTTTGAAAAGTGCAATGGCACTTAGGCCATGCTGGCTGCCATGAGGGAAAGACACTGAAGGGGACTAAGGGGGAGAGGCAGGGAGATGGCTATGAGGCTATTGAGCTGGTGAGGTGAGCTTGATGGTGGCTTGGACTAGGGCTTGGATGATGGGGCTGGTGAGAAAAGGTTGCCTTTGGGATATAATCCAACTAGAGTGGACAGGGTAAGAAGAACTGCAGCAGAGCAGTGATCTTGACCCGCACTGTGCTTACCAAAGACTTTGAGGTGTATAGATGCATCCTGCTCGCCGGCCTTGTTCTCAGCAATGCAGACGTACTCGGCTTCATCGTTCTTGTCCACCTTCCTGATGGTCAGCTCAGAACTGTCATCGCTGAAGATGTACTTCTCGTCGTCTTCCTCATTCTCTATCTGTTCCCCATCCCTACAGAAACAGAAATGCAAAGGACTATGATTTTGACCACAGAGAGAGTTAAGATGTTTATTTTTAATTAGTTTCCATAAAATGCAGATTGAGCCAATGGGAAAGGGCCAGTTTTCACAAGAAGGGAGGACACCAATGTCTACTTCCACATATACCTTTGATTCCTCCACCAATCCTCTGACTCTGCCCAACGGCTGAAAACTGTACTCACAAAGGCTTCAAAGAGGCCTCCTTCTGGACCTGCCCCTTTAAGATTGAAAATGAGGCAATAATCCAATGCCCAAGACAAGAGGACCTTACAGAAAAGAATCTAATCTTCTTGGAGATGATATTCCCAAGAAGTCCGTATGCAGGTCACTGAAATGCCAACATGGAGTGGGCCCTATGATGCCCCTTCTCTTCTAGCCCATGACCCAACACACCAGCCAGTTTCTTACTTTGTCCAGCTCATGGTGGGCTCTGGGAAGCCTTCAGCATCACACACCAAGGTGACAGACTGGCCCAGGTTGGCGGTGGCATTCACAATGGTCTGCCTGGCCTGGACGGTGGGCGGCACTAAAGGAAAGACAGATGTTAGGCATGGTTGTGAAAACTTGGGAGAACCCAATGGCTGGAGAAGAGATACTTCAGGGGTTCCCAGGTCAGGGAGTTTCTGCCTGTGGATCAAGAGAGTCCTGGGTGGCTGCAGAATTAATGTAAAGGATCAAAATTTAATGCACCAAATAATTAATGGAAATGGAATAAACAGTTTATCCACAAACATGCGTTATTGTTTTTCAAGAGTTTAGAAGCTATAATATCACATTTTACTCACATTAACGTGATATTCGATTTATAGTAATTATTTTTCATTATATATGTTCTTAGTCAATGCCCACTAAGTAACTACTACAGTCAGTAGAATTTATGTGAAGAAGGATTCTCAATACTGGAAAAAACTGGAAACTACTATTTCTGGTGGTTATAAGTCTACTACCATTTTGAAGTGCACCAGCTCAAAACCCAAGAGTGACATTTCTTTGGAATTGTCATAAACAACTTTGTGCACAAACTGTTTTTACCAAAGGAATGAGAGGGGGAGAGTTTGGCAAAAAATGCATATCAATAGCCAGAACAATTCAGACATGATTTACTTATTTTCTTAGTCCTGACATTATAATTTCCTGTAAACATCTTGTAAATGTCAGATCGATTCCACGGGTGTGTTTATTTGACTCTGCAAATTAAGATTAATAAGCCCATGGACCATGATTCTGACTATTCTGAGACCTGAATTGATTGTAATATTTTCTCTTCACATTGAACCAAGGGGACTACCTTCACAATTACTGTAACATCAAGGACAATGAGGATGAATATGAACTTATTAGTAAGCATGAGAAAGTTTCCAGTGCTGTAAGGCAATGAAAGGCATTCAATAACTGCACCGAGCACACCCATAAATGAGGGGAGACCCAAAAGGCAAGTATATTAAAAATGGAAAAAAAAGACCCTATAAATTATTCTAGGGAAGGCATTCAGGAAAGATGGATGGTTGAGTCAGGACAGAATTTATTTTATAGAACAAAGAGGAAGTTAGAAGATCTGGGAAACCAAGGTTGTAGACATGGAGAGAACAGGAAGAACAGATCTCCTCACCATTCACAATGACCTGAATGTCCTTGAAGTTGATCTCCCCCCGTGCCAGGATTCTGCCCTCACAGCGATAAGTGCCCTCATCTGTTTTCTTGATTCCCCGGATCTGCAGGTAGTTGTTGGACAGGACTATGAATCGGACTAGAAGAGACAAGAGGCAGGTTCATTCAAGGATCAGTCAGAGAACTTTGGAATCTGTAGGCAGGGAGCTGAGCCTCTTTCTTATTTCCTAACTTTGCATTATAAGGTAGGTCTTTAGGCTCAAATAAAAACAATGTGTTTGTAGGTGTGAAATATAGCAGAGAGCAAAAGTGTATTGGAAATGCATATTTGCTCTGGGGATAAAATCGTGTGCTTGAGTATACCAGCTAGGGATACACCAGGAAGCTGCGTGTGGGTTTGGGGACACCAAATCTGAGTCTGGATGAGAATCCTTCAGGGACTGGTAGAGGTGGAAACCTAGATAACTTGGTGGCCAAGGGAAAGGCAACTACCAGGAAATTGAAGTCTCACCGTCTTTTTTCAGGATGACATCTCGGCCTTTGTGTTTCCAGATGATGGTTGGGGGGAGGGAGCTGACCACGTCACACACGATCACAGCATCTTCCCCCTCCCTGAACTCCTGTGGGGTTGGTGCATTCTTGAACATGAGCTTCTCTGGAAAATGAGTAGGAGAGTGAGGAGGACAGCAGGTTCTCCCATAAGATCCCTTCCCACTAGAGCCATGCTGTCTGGACTTGAGTCCCAGGCAAAATTCTGCCCATATATACTGTTGTACAGAGGGTGTCCCACTCAGTACTTGGTCACAGATATGAAGTAGAGCAGCTAGCCCAAAGGTGGTAATGGAGCGGGGGATGTCACCATTGTTTAGCAACCAATATCTACTGAGGGCTGAATTTTTTACTTTGTTCAGAAAAGGTTCTATATAAGCAGTGCCTTCACCAAGGATTTTTTTTTTTCCATGTGGGATGATGCTAATGAAGGGTAATGCATATTCTACAATGAGAGGTGACACCAGTCTTTTCTTTGTCTCTTATTCTTGTGCCTTCCCCCAGCCTCACTCCATCTTCCCCACAGCACAGAGAATTCTGAAGAACAGAAGGAGAGCACACTTAATGGCAATAAATACTGTGGCAATCAATATTGTTCCATTAGCTGTCACCCACAGTGACTTTGGCTTACGGGACAGAAGTATGATAACAAGGTAATGAGATGCCACCTCCTGACAGGGTTTCAGCGGCAGTGGGAATGGTGTGCACTGAATGGCATCCAATGTTCCAATAGTGATCCCACACCTACTTGGGCTTTTGGGCTCTATAATTAGCAGGGAAAAGTGGAATAAGAAGGGAAAGCCTGAACTGTTCACCCTTCGGTCAACACTGGGGGAGGCACAGAGGAGTCCATAATAGCTCTCTGGAAACTGTGTCATTTGAATTCAGAAAACAGAAGTCAGTAGAGGGTAGCTGTGACCAGTGGGAATCAGGGTTGTGGGTTGGCCAAGGACCAACTGAGAATGTACTGGAACACTGAGCGAGGCCAGAAAAGACTCAGGAAGAAAAAAAACCATGGTGTCAGGCCCTCACTGGTCCCGTTATGGCCATCTCATGCTTTCTACTACCCATTCATGTGTCTTGATGACCAAAGAAAGGAAAGAGAAYACAGAAGAGAAAGGCCCTTACGGAAGATCTTCACATTGACGGTGGCCTCGGACTCGCTGCCATCCTCACCAGTGACCACACACTTGTAAATGCCGGCRTCATCGATATTGGCGTTGTAGATGGTGAGGGTGGAGGAGGAATCGTCGTTCCACACCACCGAGATCCGCTGCTGGTTTGGGCTGAGCTTTTCTCCGTTGGGGGAGAACCAGGAGATGTCCTTATCTTTGGCATCTCCTGCCACTGAGGAGGAAGAGATTATATTCAAACCACTGAAGTAAGAAAGACTAAGTTCCCTTCAGAGTGACAGTGGCAACACAGTAATAGCCACTGAATAACCAACCAACCAATCAAGGTTGGATGGCCAGGCAGTGATGTCCATTTATGTCAAAACATGGCTCAGATCTCCTCTGGCTTCTGTGCTTAATTATTATATACATAAAACCTCTTAGCGTATTTGGAAAGCTCAACAATCACTTGTTCTCATATTGCTTTATAGTGGTCCTATCCTCCTATCCTTAGTGAGGGAAGACAAATTTGCTGAGAACCTACGATGAGCTGGTCGCTAAGCTAGGAACTTACATGCCTCAAAGAATGGGAAGTAAATTAGTTGGTATATCTAAGATCTGAGTTAATCTGAACCAGTTGATCAGCCTGTGCCCCGCGCCCCTTTTTGTCGCCAGGAAATGAAGCCGGAGGTGCTTAATCAGTGAGCTACAACCCTAGCCCGTTTTATTTTTTGAGACAGAGTCTTACTAAGTTACTTAGGACCTCCTAAGTTGCTGAGGCTGGCTTTAAACTTGTGATCCTCCTGCCTCCGCTTCCCAAGCTGCTGGGATTACAGATGTGCACCTTGGTACCTGGTGATCAGCTTATTTTTGAGGGATTCGATTATGAAACAAGGATGAGACCCATTGTCTGGTCTAGGAGTAAAGATTCAAATCACTTAGAGTCTAACAGCTATTTTACCCACTGACATGGTGGCCCTTTCAGCATCTCTTGTCTCAGCCAGACAAATTCATCTTAAATGCTGCAAAGAAACTGGTCAGAATCACCCATGCCTCCTTTCCCTAAGAGGGGGAGATGGATGCTGGGCTGGAGCAGGGTGAAGGGCTCTAAGCCCGAATGGTTGCAGCTTTGCCCTGTTCCTGCACAGCCCGCTTCTCAGCCCGCATCACCCAGCCCTGTGCAGATGCTTAGTATGGAAATGAAGTCTTCCTTTCAGAGCCCATCATGTTTTCAATAAATATCGCTATTTGCAAGATGTGCTGTGGGCTCCACGGCTGCAACTCCAGATCATTGAAATTGCTGTAATGAAGGCAAAGCTGGAGGGAATGCATCCGGCAGCCACAGCCACCTCATCCAGTGCAGATCATGCTAGCAGTTAAAGGTCTCTCCTGCTGAAAGCTGCTTGCTAAATGTCACAGTTTACACCTAGCTCAACTCCTTCTGGTCTGCCATGTTCCGGATCCCAGTAGTATCTGAGACCTAATTTGACATTCTTCCCTCCACGGGATGTTTCCTGATAATCACTGGGAATGGGAATAATGGAATTGTTGGAAATGGGAGTTATTTCCTAARCAAACAACAAGGACACTACTTCTAATATATCCCAGGGCTCTGGTGGGGGTTATGGGCCAGATTATCAGCATTCACAATAGACCTGGAAAACCCAAGATAGATATCCTCAAACCCAGAGAGATATCAGTGTTCAATCTACTTTCAAGAAAATTGTGGACCTTCTTGGATTTTCAAGGTCTCAGATTCTAAGAAATGAGACTTAAACTGACCCAKTGAAGCATTATTTCTAAGTCAGTACTGTTATCTGGTGTTGTTTACTGGGTGAGGACAGGACAGGACATCTGAGATGACTTGCTATCTGAGAGTTGTACTGATTGTCTCTCTCCAAAACTCTTGGGTATCCTCCAATCATCAAGCAGAACTCCAGGTGACGTATAGCACCACACTGGGGCAGCCTTTGAGAGGAAGAAAGGGGGTCTGAGAGCCCTCCTGGATCTTGAAGGGTCACACTACTTCACACTACTTCCACACTACCGTGGAGCAGAGCAACACCCAGAATTCTAGGTGTGGGCGCCACTGGTTTGGCACTCATGGGCTTCTGCTCTGTCTCATGAGTGTTTATTTTGGCGGGGGGCTAAGGGGTACTGGGAATCGAGCTCGGGGAACTAGACCACTGAGCCACATCTCCAGCCCTATTTTTGTTTTTCATTGAAAGACAGGGTCTCACTGAGTTGCTTAGTGCCTTGCTTTTGCTAAAACTGGCTTTGAACTGGCGATCCTCCTGCCTCAGCCTCCTGAGCTGCTGGGATGTTCATGGATTCCTGAGGCAAGCTCTGAAATATAACAGGACACAGGAGGGCACTTGCCTTGGCATAAGAAGAATTTGGATTCTCCAACGCTGATTTCCCCTTGGCTGGGAACAATATCCACCTGCAGAGAAACTGAAAAAGACAAAGTCCAGTTTAGACAAACATTTGAAATTTTGAGAATTAAACTCAGAGCTTTCATTCAAAACCCAGGTTTAAGGAAGTGTGAAAGGTGGAGGTTGTGTGGATTTTGAGAACTTGTCACCACCAAAGTACCCTCACACCTCAGCCAGTAGTGGACACAGCCCAGATCATTCACATCTGGAACTGCTATGTTCTATGAGATAATGCAAGGTTCCTTGGGAGACCTGGGGTGACCTCTGCCTAAATATTTTTGACCCTTGAGGAGGCTTATGGTCCTATTCCAAATAGCAACACTCACAGAAACAGCAGCCCAACCAATCCCTTTTGGATGTCTATCTGAAGTGTCCCCATAGCTGTGCCAAGAACAGAAAGCTCACCACACCAGAACTATACCCAGGGGTKTCTTGCAAATTCCCCAGGCCACCATCTTTAATCACTGCGAAGAGAGGGTTAATGTGAAGATTCAAACTGGTTCTGAAGCAGGGGATGCAAACAGATGCCCATCTTAAGTCAAGAAAATAGGACCAATATGTCTATTTCCGTAACAGGAAACGACATCAAACATCATCTCCACAATTAGTCAGACACAATTCTGAAATCCTGTAGTCTATGCCCTGTGGAATTCCCTGTATCCCCTAACAGCTTTTCCCTGAATTTTTATTTGAATATCTGTATGTTCTGTCATTCTCCTGCTCTGATAAGAAAATACACTGCACCAGATCTTACTGATTCCTGTATTCAGTCTGCTCCTCATTTATCTGCTCAGAGCAGATAAATGTTCCTCATGAAAATACAGTTATAGGATAGGAGAAATGCTTTTTTTTTTTTTTTCATTTGAATTCAACTTCCCTCTGCCTCTCCTCCTCCTAAGCAAATGTGAAAGCCAAAAGCTAACAGACATTTGGTTCAATGCATGGAGCTCCTCAAAGCCAATCCGAGGGAGGGGTCTGAGCAAAACAGGCTGGATCACAGAGACTCAGTGAGCCCTTCCTTCCAACAGCCATTTTCTGTTCACAGTCGAATGGAGGCAAGGCTCGTTGCCATGGCGACTGACTTGCAGGCAGGGCTGCTGTGGCTCTGGGTCTGCACTCATTTGAAGAGACTACAGTTGTGCTCAGCAGAATACAGAGATCAAAGGGCCTGTTTGGGGTGGGAAGGGAGTGTGTGGGGGCAGCAGAGGCTGTGTAGCCTTCCTAACCATCCCACTAACAAACAAAGCAGGTAACGAGAAAACACACCCAGAGCTGAAGCTGCAGAAAGAAAGGGATGATGTGGCAAAGCCAGGAACTGAAGAAGGGAAGGAGACAGGGAAATGATAGGGAATGGGGCGCGGTAAGAGGCAGGGAGAGGATGCTCAGGGCAAGTGGGGGGTGCTCAGGCCCTTCTAAGTGCTCGACTGGAAAGAAATACTACAGCGATCTGGGGCTGGCTAGTCTCACCCTCATTCATTCTGTTACTGATGACCCAGTTGGGGATCAGGACTAAAATTCTTACTTGACAACAATGAAAGGTCTTCCCCCACTTTTCCTGACTGTAGCCCTGGTGCCAGGGTTGCCCTGGAACATAATGCTACCCAGAGCTGTAATGTCCGCAGGTGGAAGCGAGACTGGCCCTGGAGTGAGGTGCCACTCAGTTCTACAAGGGGAGATCCAGAAGGAGTCTCAGATATACTGTCCTGCCTCCTTACGTTCCAGATGAGAAAGAGAGATGAAGTGACTTCCCTACAGTCATTTCTAGTCAGGACTGAAGTACCCTGGAGCCCAGGCCTCCTGGCTCCCAGGTAAGGGTCCTGAGTATGCAGTGCTCCTTCTGGGCAAAGGGAGAGAGGTTTGCATTCAGTGTAACAATCTGGAATCCTGAGTAACAACCTTCGACTTCATTATACCTTAAGATGCAGAGCAAGACCAGCATTAATAAGGCCCTATGGTATTTGGGGGAGCCCAGGGCCTCAAAGAGAGGGCTGCAGAACAGTATCACTCATGCTAAGGCCAGCCAGGACCTCTTCTATTGCTTTCCATGGCTCACATTCCACAGGAACCATAGGCCTTAGGAAGCTCAGAAGCTGTGAGTACCCCATCCCTCGCCTGAGTAATGGTCCTTTCTGGAGTTTAAAGGGGCATTCTTTAAAGAATTAGAGGCATATTTCTGCCTGGAACGATCCCTGGCCCATATGCTGAGCATTAACAGCCAGCTTCAACACATGGATCTTGTTACTGCAGTGGAGCCTCCCCGCTTTGAGAAGGATATTCTTATCCTGAGTGAAAAAGCAGACTTCAATTTCTTAAAGCTCTTTTCAAAAAGAACATGACTCTCTAGGGGCAGCCAAGCTGAAAAGTTTTCATACCCAAATGTGGCCAGGATCTATCTCTGGGCCACAGGGAGAAATGAGAATCAAGCATTTCAAAGGAATTCCCAGCTTAACGGGATCCCACTTACACATTTATCACCACAGAAGTTTTGAAAAAGAAGAGGTCTTCCACTGACACTCCTGGGCTTTTGCACACATGGAAAAGAGTGATTCTTCCCTCAAAGCACCAGACAGGGCTGGACCAGAGGAGCCTCAGACGCTCTGCAAATCAATGCCTGGATGTTTTCGATTGTAGCACAATGGCTGATTATTCTTCTGCAAATGCTAAACCTTGAAATATTAGGTTTAATRATGAGAGATGGAAATCCTGATCTGAACTCAGAACTCCTTCCCTTCACTTCTTGCTTCTTCTTTTCACTTCTCTATGATAACTTTCATGGTTTTCAATTWAAAAAAAAAAAAAAGCCTACCTCAAGTTTCACCTTTCTTTGTTGTACATGGAAGTGAAATTTCCTAACCAGGCATAATACATATCTTTAAAGAAACTATGAAAACATTTCTCCCAAACAGACTATCTCATCTCTTGTTTTCCATTAACACTGTCTGTGTAAAATGTCATCTTAGCTGTATCCAAAGATCCTGGGTCGTCTTAGGTCAGATCTGGCATTACCCAGTGTTATGGTTTAGATGTGAGGTGTCCCCTAAAAGCTCATGTGTGAGACAATGTAAGAAGGTTTAGAGGAGAAAATCAGGTTATGAGAGTCTTAATTCAATCAATAAGTTAATACCTTTGATTGGATTAACTGGGTAGGAGCAGAGGGTGGGTAGGGGGTGGCTGGAGGAGGTGGGTCATTTGGGACATGTCTTTGAAATACATATTTTGGATCTGGCAAGTGGAGACCTCTCTCTCTCTCTCTCTCTCTCTGCTTCTTGATCACCATCTGAGCTACTTCCCTCTGCCACACTCTTCTGCCATGATGTTCAGTCTCATCTTGAGCCCTGAGGAATGGAGCCAGCCTTCTATAGACTGAAACCTCTGAAACCTTGAGCCCCCAAATAATCTTTTCCTCCTCTACAATTATCCTGGTTGGGTCTTTTAGTCACAGCAGTGGAAAAAGCTGACTAAAACACCCAGCTGTGACCACATCACCCAGTTTGTGCTTAGCCCCCAAGCTCACCTGCAGCAGCATCTACTCTCGGGTGTACAAGACAYTCTTTTTATTGCATCTGATCTCACATCAGTTCTTAGAGATAAAAAGACTGATAGAACAGTGTTTCTTTTACAAAAGAGGAAGTCAAGKCTCAGCGAAATGAACATAACTTGCAGAAGGTTCCTCAGCTAATATACTACACAGACAAGAGTAAAAATCTATTCTAATGTTCCAGCCTATCCTCCATGCTCTCCAACTACTACCAGTGTTGGATTTTTGCAACTTCTGAATGGGTTTATTATAACCTGTTAGTTGTCATTTGTTCTCTTTCCAAATCATGGGCTATGGAGAGTACAGTCTTTGTACAAAAATCTTATAACCAAATTCCTATCATCATTTCTCTCCTGATTAACTGTAACTACCTCTTTACTCAAAGATAGTGAGAGCACTATAACTCCATTTTACAGGTGGGGAAGTGGAGGTTCAATGCCTATGTAATGGTCAAATTCAAACTCAGGTTGAGCAGAGTAAAAAGCCCCAGGCACTTCTTCCWCACTATTCTAAATCCTTAGGAACACACAGAAAAAAAAGGTATGTCTTAGGAAAACTTAACGATTTCCCTCTCCTCATCTCACTTAAAAAAAATAACCCTGTGGGAGACTGATAGCTTTTAAAATGGGTTTTCAGATTAAATGTCTTTTTTTAAATTGATAAATGTTCTGAAAGAAATGCCATCTTTTTCAGCAAACAGCTTCAGGTGTAAGCAGAAGTTTTATAACTCCCGACTCCCTAGCAGAAGTAGGCTATAAAGTCTTAGTTGCTAAAGAAAAGTGAATTGAAATTTGAGTTCATAAAAGATGCCAAGGTGCTTATCAGGAGAGGTGGAATCTTGTTAAGGCAACAGAGAATTATTATTCTGATTTCAAAAAATAATTCATAGATTTCAGTAGCAGTTTAATTTTACTGGTTTTCTTTTCAGATTCTAACGTGCTTGAGGAGGTAGGAGCTGAGAGAAGAAAGTACACTGAGGTCTTTCCCAGGCTGACTGGAAACACTTTCATGTTGAAGTTATAAAGACACTAGCCAGGAAGACACACTGCAGGTGCCCTGGGGGACCAGGGCCCAGGTTGGCACACCTGAAGAAGGTGCCCTGGTCACCAGTTTTAGAGATGGGTAAACCATAGAGCATGGGTTGGCTTAGTGACAATGCATGAGATGAGGGAAATTTCTAGAATCTGGGCTTTTTTAAAAAAAGGGATCAAATTGTATATCAGCATACATAACCAGGTTAATGGAGCTGTGTGGCTTTATTTTTCAAAGTATAACTAAGTGCTGAGTTGCTTTAATTTGACTACACTGTAAGAAATCCAGATGTGTAGCCTGGGGGCACAAAGAACTAGATACCCCCACCGGCCTGTAATACTTTGCTTTTAAGATTAGCAAAGTATTTGGGGAAGAATAAAAGGCCCCTTCACTGCTAAGCCTACTGAACTCTATGAATGTAAAACAGAAGCTAATGTGGCAGTTCTGCG